AATTAGTATAAATAAAAAGCAAATAAGAATGAAAAGACCATGAGATACCTGAAATATATGAAAAGCTGCTCACTTTCACGGAAGTTAAAGAAATAAGCAAATGATACCAATTACATTTCTTTTATCAGATGTACAAAACTATAAAAGATTAGCAATATCAAACATTGGTAGATAAAAGAGCACTTTGAAAAACTGTTGGTCATAACTACAAATTTGATATGTCCATCCTAAAAAGAATATGGCTTCTTTTTCAAATGTAAAGTGTGCATACCATTCTAAGAAAAATTTCACATCTAGAACCCTACCTCACAGAAACACTGACACAAATGTAAAAGTACAGATGCATAAGTCTATTCCTGAATTATTTACGTGGAATGGGGAAAAAAGAGAGGCCTCCAAAATATTGTCAAAATTAATGTCCATCCATAATAGATTTTAAAGAATGAGACAGGGGCTGGTGCTGTGGCATAGTAGGTTAAATTTCCACCTGTGGTGCTAGCATCCCATATAGGCACCAGTTCAAGTCCTGACTGCTCTACTTCTGATCCAGCTCCCTGCTAATGGCCTAGGAAAGCAAGTGCTTAGGTGGCCCAAGTGCTTAGGTCACTGCAACCACAAGGGATACCAGGAAGAAGCTCCTGGCTCCTGGTTTTGGATGGGCCCAGCTCCAGCTATTGCAGCCATTTGGGGAGTGACCCAGCAGATGGAAGATCTCTCTCTGTCTCTCTCTGTAACTCTGATTTTTAAATAAATAAAAATATATCTTTAAAAAAAAGTATCTGTACATCAAAAATCAACATTAATCTACAGAGTACATATCAGCAATACCTGACAAAGGACTCATATACAGTAGTATTTTTAAAAGCCTACCAATTGGACGGCGCCGCGGCTCATTTGGCTAATCCTCCGCCTGCGGTCCCAGCACCCCGGGTTCTAGTCCCAGTTGCTCCTCTTCCTGTCCAGCTCTCTACTGTGGCCCGGGAAGGCAGTGGAGGATGGCCCAGGTCCTTGGGCCCTGCACCTGCATAGGAGACCAGGAGGAAGCACCTGGCTCCTGGCTTTGGATCAGTGCAACGTGCCAGCTGTGGAGGCCATTTAGGGGGTGAACCAACAAAAGGAAGACCTTTCTCTCTGTCTCTCACTGTCTAACTCTGCTTGTCAGAATATACAAAGAAAAAAAAAAAAGCCCACAAATCAACAAGAAAAAGGAAGACATTATCCAATAGAAAAATGAGCAAAAGACTCACACAGGTTCCTAAAAAAGACAAAACCAAAATAACCAAAAACAAGAAATGTTCTTCTCCACTGTTTGATAAGGAAGCGCAAATTGAAGTCATAATATGATATTTCTAAACACTCATCAAAATGCCAAATGTTGTGAGAATGTAAAAGAATTTGAACTTTCATACACTGTTGGTGGGAGGGTGAAACCGTAGAATCACTTTGGGAAAGCTATTTGAAATATCCAGAACGCTTAACAGAAACACACCCAGAATTCCTTCTCCTAGGTATATACACCAAAAGATAATTACAAGTCTTTGGTGAACATATGTATGTTCACACACACACATGTGCATATACAATATGTATTTTTACATATATGTGAAAGCTGAAAATACAAAAATGTCCACTATTCACAGAAAGGTTTATCTGAATTTAGTAATACCATATGAAACTACAAGGCATGGCGAATGAGCCAACTATATAGTTACCTGGAACAACATATGTCTCCAACACACACTAAACAAAAGACAGAAACAAAGAGTATATACCATCCAGTATATACAATTCTAGTTCAAAACCAGGTAAAGCCAATCAACACCTGGTGTTTCAAGTCAGAAAAGCAGTTACCCTGGAGGAGCAGGGTAGTGACTGGAAACAGTAACCTTGACCTATGTTCTAAGGACATAGTCATACGCATTTTCAAAAATGCACTGAGGGGGCTGGTGTTGTGGCATAATGGGTTAGGCTACCACCTGCAACACTGGCATCCCATATGGGTGCTGGTTTCAGTCCCAGCTGCTCCACTTCCAATCCCTGCTAATGCGCCTGAGAAAGCAGCAGAGGATGGCCTAAGTGTTTGGGCTCCTGCACCACGTGGGAGCACTGGATGAAGCTCCTGGCTCCTGGCTTCGGTATGACCCAGCCCCAACTATTGTGGCCATTTGGGGAGTGAACCAGTGGATAGAAAATTCTCTTTCTCTCTAAGTCAATCTTTCAAATACATGAAATAAGTATTTTATAAAAAATGCACTGAGGATTATATTCATGATATTTTTCAGTACTTATGTTATAGTTCAATAAAAGGTTTACTTTTAAAAACTGCGATGATACCAAAGAATGTTTTGGAAAGAACATTTACTCATAACCAGATACATGGATATTTAATTAAGACACAACTATGACTTATTGCTATAAAGTCATAAATGAGTACTGAGTATGTGCTAAGTGTCAAAGACTGTGTTAGCACTGGTGTTACAGGCATAGACCATATTTATTCTCTGGTCTCATGGAGCTCATAACTGAAATTTTTAGAAAGAAATAAAGGCAAGAGAGAAGAAGGGAAGTAGGCTGAAATGTTAAAAAGAGTAATCATGCATTTTTCATGGCAGTGTAAGCTGGCATGATTCTTTTAACAAGAAATTTGATGCTGTATATCATGGTCTTTAAAAATATCCATCTGCTCAGGGAATTATTAAAAAGTAGGTTGCAAATCATATACTAGTATGATGGCAACTATATCAAAAAATCCTTATGCACAGAAAAAAATGAAAATATATATCAAATGTGTTGTTTTTAACTCACCATTTCCTAAATGAAGTCATCCTCTGAAAACAAGTCAACTATAATTTGCTATCCAATACCAAAATGCATTCTATACATTAGGTATGTTTCTGTGTCCTTCAGGGATTTTTTAAGTATGTTTATTTTCCAAAGGACATCTAATGAAAAATCCTGTTTTAAAATAAATCAATAGACCATTTTTCTTCATGACAACCTAAATGTTATCCCCACATGGTAATGAGAAATAGTCCATGAGCTGAAATCCCATACAGTACATATCCAGCATAAGACTTTTCTTTAAGATGATTTTTAAACAGCCCACTTTCTCTTAGAGATTCGGTCATAAATTGCTTAGAGACAGACAGATACAGAAAGGAGAGGCTTTTCAACAAACTCAGTCTAACACCACTCTCTGCTGAGTCCACTGTAGAAGTTCCATTCTAAAATCAAAGATGCATTCACTTGAAAATACAGTGTCTCAGTAAATAAATCCAGATTAAAAAAAAAGAGAGCGAGAAGGGCTTTTGAATGCACTTTCTAAAACAAAATAAACATTAACATTAAAAATATGAGCAACACTATTTCAAAATAAACAGAAGCCACTGTGATGAAGAGGAACGTGTGTCAGGGACAGAATCTTGAGGGAAATCTGAACTACACGGAGTAGACAGGACCCACAGAATGAAACTGAGAGAGCCTGTATGAAGGACGGTGAGTGAGCACAGGGAGGAGCCTAACACCGCAGCATGTCCTCTGACCTGGGCTTTAGGAGGCTGGCCTGGCCCCAGCAGCTCCAATGGGCTAGGGACAGGGCTGGAGGGGAATCGGGCTCTGAAGGCAAGCTTGGCTGTGATGGACCAAGAGCACTTGAGGAAGCCAGAGTCTGACAAGCACACAGCAGGGCTCAAAGCCACGAGGCAAGCAAGGTCTCCTCCCCCTGGAGGACAAGAGGTGTGAGAAGAGGACGAACACAGGACTGAATTTCTCAAACTGCTGCTGATGGAGAACTGGGCAGAAAGGTGACATTAGGAAAAACTCATGAGGCAAGACTGTAGACCATGGATTCAGAGCAGCAGCTATATCTTCTCCAGTCTCACCAAATGGCCCACATACAGGAGAAATGACAAATGGTCAGTTTGGTGGTGCTGACACAGAAAGTGGGGGCACTATAAGAGCTGAGGCAGCTCAAAGATGCAGCTGAAACTCAGAGCACACAACTCAACCAAGAAAACAAAGCAAAGTGGTTGCTTCCAGGAGAAGGCGGCAAAGGATGTGAGAGCACAAGAGGCTGAAGCTACAGAGAGATGCGCTCGAGAGTGAGATACAGGAGTCAGAGGCGAGGGATAAGGTCACTTAGGGTGGTGGATGGTCCAAGGTCTTGTCTTGGGAGTAGGTGGCTGGGTTGGGACAATCATCAGGGCAGAAAATGGAGAAAGCAGTGACATTCACTAGGCTGCTGGCAGAACTTCCCGGGGAGGGGAAATCCGTAAGACAAGCCTCACAACCTGATACAACAGGCAATGGACCAGGAAATCAGCAAGGAGTGGGGATAGCATAGCAAAAACACAAAGGAAAAGATTTTGCTAAGAAAAAGGCATCCACAAATGTCATTAAGAAGTCAGCCATTTTTTTAAAAAACACTAACTATACTGTCATATCTTACAGCTACATTCTTTAAAGAGAAATAGAAATCCATTAAAATACTGCTTTAAAAAAATTAAGTCACCTGTTTTCTTATAGATCTTAATTCAGGAGAGTAAACTATATCTTTTTACTATGAGATGAGTAAACACAAATGAGTCAAAAAACCAAAAAGAATACCAAAATATCCTACCATCTTAATACAAATATTATTGCAGTAATTTTTCAGCAGTTATAATACATAAAATTTTATACTAAATGTTCTCCAATCAGCCATATGCATTTTCTAAACCACATGAATTTCTCCACATTAATTTTAACACTTGCATGATATTTTATCAAGCAGATTTTCAAAATTTATAAATCAATTTTTCCATTTCTCATCTAATTTGTGGCTACCATAAATTTTGCAGGGGTATAACCAACATGTCAGCATGCATAACTTTACAACCTGAGAATCAGATAATTAACAGTACCCGAAGTGAGGAAGTTGTCTCTAAAGATTGGAAAGGGAAGGGAAGGTTTATTTTCAGATGCACCATCTCGCAGGGTCACTGACAAGCCAAAAAATTTACCTGGAAGAAATCTTACAAAACGTGGCATGAAATGAAATCTTGGGCAGCAGGGAGGACTGTCTTCAAACAAAGGACCTGAAGCAAACAAGTGAAAAGAGAAGAAAAAGAAATCAGACAGCCTTAGAAGGAACACACTGCAACTTAATTCCTAAGATTTATGATAACCACAAAAAAAATCACCAGAAGTAGAGTCATAAAAAAATACCACTCCCTCCACTCTTCTCAATGGCTAAATCAATCATTGGTTACTGCACAAGCATCCAGTGAAGATGGCAATAAGGTCACTACAGGAAGTTAAGAGCAGCCTGAAATTCCCAAAGAGCAAATGTATACAATGAAATTATTTTTTAAAACCCAGAAGTATTGGGACTGGCAATGTGGCGTAGTAGGCTAAGCCCCCGTCTGCAGTACCAGCATCCTACATGGCTACCAGTTCATGTCCTGGCTGCTCCTCTTCTGATCCAGCGCTTTGCTTATGGCCTAAGAAGTGGAAGATGGTCCAAGTGCCTGGGCCCCTGTACCTGTGTGAGAGACCCAGAGGAAGCTCCTGGCTCCTGGCTTCAGATTGGCTCAGTTCTGGCCATTATGGCCATTTGGGGAGTAAACCAGTGGATAAAAGACTTTTCTTTCTGTCTATTCTAACTCTCAAATAAATGAATAAAATATTTTTTAAAAAAACTGAGAAGTATCAACATTGTTATCATAATTAAACTAGAGCAGGATATAATAGGTTTATGTGTTAATTTCTTCCCATTTCAGTCTATACAGTAAAAAAAAAAAAAAAATACTACTGGTTTGAAAAGCCATTCACTCAATTTATTCATTCAACAACTTAGTTTGAAAAGCTATTATTGGGCCGGCGCCACGGCTCACTAGGCTAATCCTCCACCTAGCGGCGCCGGCACACCGGGTTCTAGTCCCGGTCGGGGCACTGGATTCTGTCCCGGTTGCCCCTCTTCCAGGCCAGCCCTCTGCTGTGGCCAGGGAGTGCAGTGGAGGATGGCCCAGGTGCTTGGGCCCTGCACCCCATGGGAGACCAGGAAAAGCACCTGGCTCCTGGCTCCTGCCATCGGATCAGCGCGGCGCGCCGGCTGCAGCGCGCCGGCCGCGGCGGCCATTAGAGGGTGAACCAACGGCAAAGGAAGACCTTTCTCTCTGTCTCTCTCTCTCACTGTCCACTCTGCCTGTCAAAAAGAAAAAAAAAAAAAGCTATTATTAATATACTGCTTCAAAAAAAAATAAATGAGTAAATGTTTGCTGGAATACAGCTATTTCCAAAAGAATAAATTATCCATGAACCAGGCATAACGTTTGTAGCTAACTTACTCTGTACGTGTATGTATTCAGATGTGTGTATGTGTGTGTTTTAATGACTAACCAAAGCTCTGTTTAAATAAACTGTCAGAAGTTTATTCCAGTAAAGTTCACTAGATTTAAAATATTAACTAACGAGATTTTCCCCAATCCACATAAATCAAGGTATTTATAATAACTGCTATCACCTTCTTAGTTAATAATAGGCACTATCAAATTGTATGAAATAAAATCCAAAACAACTTATTCATGTCAAACAACACCAAGCATTCCTATGACTAATGTACTTTTCCTTGAGTATTTCAAAAGTAAGAGGAATTTATTTCAACTACATCCCCCTGACTTTTTATAAGAGTTTTCACATATACCTTTCACATATATCATATTCTTCTACACGCATTACTCTCTTCTCTAAATCCTATTATTTACCTTTAAGATTCCAGTCATATAATTCCAAAATATCTCTGAATAGGAACAGTGAAAAGAGTTCAAGCCCTTTCACACAAAAATTCTGAAAAATAAAGCAAAATCAGATTACTGAAGATCTGCAGGCATATATTAACCAAAAGTTCAACACGTTCTAGTCAAGTATCCAAAAAAGTGTTCAAACTATACTAAAACCATATAATTACATTTGGCTACTATCCTGCAATAGCTTTTTGCTTTCAGACAGAAACAAAGCTGGCAATAATGTTATGAGGATCCTATAAAAGTGTAAACTCAGCTCTTCTCTGTGTACAAATAAAATGTGAAATTTAAAAAGCAATGACTCGCGTATGTCATATTTTTCTAACCCAATTATAAAATGTGTCACAATCTCCTGGGGACTATTTGTTAATTCAGATTTTACACACACACACACACACACCTGCAAGCTCTAATTGGCTTGTCTCCCAATCCCCACCCTACACACCCAGAATTTCTGCTACCAAGACACCCAAACAAAGAGATTCTTTATATCAAAAAAGTTCACATTCTTAATGAGAGAAAATAAAGAAAGGGCTAAGAAAAACTATAAAGCTTTGTACCCAAATCTGTAAACAGGCTAAAAGAATGATATATTTGCAAGTGAGACTCGTATCATAATTTTTCCTCCTACTTGTTTTGCTCAGGGCTCATAAATCACCCTGCGTGAGATCATGCCCAAAGTCATAAGCTTTTACAATAGCAAATGAAGGCTTACAACCTTAAAAACCAAAGGAAGCAAAAAATCCTTCCAAAAGGAAAAGGAAGGGGTGGTCCTTCCTCTTTAATTCTTTCTGAAAGGCAGGTAGAATGAACACGACTTGCTCAGAATGAAATAGGTGCCAACCAAGCATGCACGTCATGCCCATCAATTCCCCCTCAGTGCCCCCTGCCCATGACAGAGCTGCCCTGTTAAACAAGGTTTGCAAGAAGAGCCAGGGGCTCTGGAAAGCAACCAGACTTCAACACACTGTTTAGCACACAAGCTTGTTTGCTGTCTAGTTGTTATTTCTTAGGGTGATTTGTTGACACCACTAAATTCAAGATCAGGCAATGAATCATTCTGAGATTCACATTAATCTTGTTTTGGAATTTTAACTCTCTTGCATATATTTAGATAAATCTGCTGCTGAGCATCCTCAATGAAAAACAATTAGGAAAAATATGTAAATATATGGGAAGAAAAATGAAGCAAGTATTGATCTTGTCATTGGAGATAATGAATAAGATTATTCCAACAGCTATCAGATTCAGTTTAACTATTCCAGTTTCCTTTCTGAAAATGGCCAATAACCAAAACCTGTCCCTTCCACAAAATAAACTAGAAACAGATGTAAAGTTACTATCACCAGATGCAACATGAGCAGAAATGGGTTCAAAAATAGATCAGCGAGTTAAAGCATGACCTGAATTTCAACCTTGATATTAGAGCTCCATCACACTCACCCTTCAACAGTGAATATGATACTTCAGGAGTATCCCTATGCATAGCAAAAGCTAGAGCTGGCCAAGTTCAAAGCTTCCAAATGTAGGTATGGAATAAACGAAAGAGTAAAGTACATGACAAGCTGTTCAACTATCTTTTCCCTTACCTCGGGCATCATCTCTTCAATGAAATGAATCGTGTAGTCTATGTTGAATCTGATGACTTTACATAGTGGAATCTGCAAGAAGAAAAGAGATTCAGTTCCGCAGTATCTCCCTGTAGGCTCCCATTGCACACACATCTGCTCCCTGACCCAGAAGGCCATGAACCAAATGAGAGTGTTGCACCTTCATCTGTGCTGCTAACAACAATGCACAAGAAGCTTGACCATAACTGGTCAGTTTTAGTGGTTGGAATACCATGGGCCAGGCCTATACAGGAAAGCAACATGTTGGTGCTTAATTACAGTATTAGCAGTAGCAACACAAACATGACAGGAACCCATTAAAACCAAGCATATCATCAGTAATGGATTAACAAAGCCACAGTCATAAACATTTTTCTCAGGTCTTTAAAATATTTGAGAAAGTTCGGCTCGTAGGCTGTCAGGCTGAGAACTTATCAGGTACGGATTCATGGGTCACTGAAAAGCACACAATTCATGTGAGTGTGGCTCTTCAGCAAAGGTAACTGTGATAATAAATATAACAATAATAACTAACATTTATGGAGCCAGGCACTGCTCTTCACGCTCCACAATACCCACTCATGTCACCACCACAACATCCCAACAAGATGGGATCAATGATTTTGCCTGTTGTGGTACAGGAAACCCGGACAGTCGTCAGGCGACAGGCAGCTGGTGAATTAGGAAGCTCGCTCTAGACTCCAGCTGTTAGCCACCAAGAGTATGTACCATTTATTATATGTTTTAATAGAGTATGAGTGAAAACAAAGGAAGGCTCAGCATGAAATACATCCACCTCTGCCTTGTACTATCAATGTCCATCAGACACTAATGCCTCAACACAAACGTATTCCTGTGTGAATGAAAGAACAAGAAAGGAAGAAGCAGGGTTACTGCAGTGGCTTGACTTGGGTGGCTGGCTGGGGAAAATAACAGAGGCAGAAGCCCTAGAGATGTGCTAAGTGGGCTTTTCTGGCTGCTCAGTCTGTCCATAAGACGATTTTATACACATGTAATCATTTTTAACAAACCACAGCAACCAGAAACAAATTTTAATGCCACCAGCAAAAGGGAGGGTAAGAAAAACTGAAAAAAAAAAAAAAAATAGTCTTCTAATGCCATCTACTGGAAATCTTCTCCAAAATGAAGTTTAGTTCTTAGATTTTTTTTCAAGAAGGTAGTAGTTCATTTCAGTGAAGCTCATAATTAACTTGAATAAGAGATCCATCTTCAACCTTCTAGTGTTAATGAGCTCCAAACCAACCAAAGCAATATGCCATGTCCACTATCATTAATAAGTTCTGCTTTATTTCTACATTCATTTATAAAATATTTGAGAGTTACACATTTATGCATGACTCCACATGTTTTTAAAATGCCTGCTCTTTCCTATCAACTGTGAGCTCATCTGTGCCCTGATATAAGCCCCAGGCCCTATTTTTAGAGGTAAGTAAGGATCTAGAAGAAGAAAGGCATGTAAACAAGTACAATATAATATGATACAATGTAACTTTTAAGTGCAATTAAAAAACAAACAAGCAAATAAAATATAAAATGAGAAAGATCCAAATAGGAGGAACATTTGAGTTCAGCCTTGCAAGACAGGGAGGGGTTTTCCAGGTCTTTCAGAAAATTCAAGTGTTTAGCTTCTAGCAGACGGAGAAAGGGAGCAGCAAAAAGCAGCCAGTTAGATGTTCAGAGAGTGACCTGCAGAGTGAGACAGGAGACAGAAGGCTCCGGAGAGGAAAGTCTGAACACCATTGTGCTGCCCTTACACTCCATGTCAAGGTCAGGGCTTGTGGCTACATATCAACAAGAAATCAGTCAAGTACTTTAAGTAAGAGAATGCCACCTTTCCACTTCAGATGCAGCACTATGAAAACAGTGTAGAAAAAGCTTGAAAGGAACAAGTAAGACCAGAAGATCAGACTGGAGTCCACTGCATTAGTACAGGGGCCAAATAAAATAGTCCAGAAAGTCAGAAAACATTTGAACTTAGGTAAGAGATGTTACTGATATAGACAGTGGTCACTCTGATGTAACAGTGAAGAAAGAATACAGGATAATTTCTGGGTTCCTGGCGTAAGTGACCAAGTAGGTAATGACAGCATTAATCAGAAAGCAGAAATTCATGAGAGTATCCCTTGAATAGTTCAAATCAAATATTTGTAGAGGACGATGAGTCCACTTTTGCACAGGCTGAGCATGGGAAAACTCAGGGGACATGAATGACAGCATTCCAAAAGGCAACTGGAAATGCCAGAGTAAAGCACCGAGCTGCCCGTCGCTGACCATCACAGCTGCACATATTAAACAGGGGGGCCAGAATATGCATAGGAGGAATACACTTTGGATGGGACTGAATTATTCAGGGTGAGAGTTTGTAGGAGAAATGGGGACCACAACTCCTGAGAACACTTAACAGGCAAGAAAACAGTGACAGTGTAAACTTTACTCCTTACTGTCAAGTGCAAAAGAACTCTTCTGATGATTCATGCACGCACAGTCTTCTCCTCATCTCATTTTGACTAAAATCAGTTTTAGGAAGGAATTCCTTCTTTGACCTCTTCTCTTTATACCGCCAGAGCCATTCTCAGAAAGGCAGGATCTTCTTATCCATTCAAACTCTGCTCTAAGACTCAAAGAGAACTTACCATTTTATTGGTCAACCCAGAAGCTTTATTACTGCAAAGATAATCAAAGCAGCTCCCAATCAATGCCATCACCTACGATCATTTCTCTAATTTTTTTTTTTTTTTTTTTGACAGGCAGAGTGCACAGTGAGAGAGAGAGACAGAGAGAAAGGTCTTCCTTTGCCTTTGGTTCACCCTCCAATGGCCACTGTGGCCAGCGCGCTGATCCGATGGCAGGAGCCAGGTACTTCTCCTGGTTTCCCATGGGGTGCAGGGCCCAAGCACCTGGGCCATCCTCCACTGCACTCCCTGGCCACAGCAGAGAGCTGGCCTGGAACAGGGGCAACCGGGACAGAATCCAGTGCCCCGACCGGGACTAGAACCCGGTGTGCCAGCGCCGCAAGGCAGAGGATTAGCCTACTGAGCTGCGGTGCTGGCTATCATTTCTTAAAATACACTTGAAAACTAGAAAGTAAAGAATATCATATGCTGACATTATTCCATCTTATCTTGGGGCAGGGGGGAGGAGGGAGCAAAACTGTATTCTAATTCTACTACTTCCAGGCAATGAATGATCAAATCCACAGGTCATCAAGGCCACTAAAAATGGAAAACCAGCTTAGGCGGGAGGGAAATGACAAAGAGGCTTTCTTGTGCTATTGCACACCTAATAAATATGCCTTTATAACTTTAGTTACACTGTCATAGTCTTCAATAACATCAGGTAATCTAAGTAATAGCAAATATAGGATACAAAAGCATAAAAATATCCTGGAATGTTCTTTACTAAGCTAACAAGGCTTTCAATCCACTTTAATTCAAGATGACCTTAAGAGAACTTGTTGCAACTAGATGTGGTTGAGAGTTTTTTATTACTGTTATTTGCATACCATGCTTACTTCTCTTCTCTCTCTAGCAAGAAAATGAATCAGATCAGAGAGCAATTTAAAAATTCTTTTTCTTGGGAGGCTATTTCAAATTCAAGAGGCTTATGATGGATCTCATTCTTATGAACTGTACAACACTCAGCTTAAAACTCAATTTATTTTATCAACATCCCAATATAAATGATGGGACTCTTCACTACAGAGCAAAGTTCTCAAGTTTTGAGAACTTGAATATTTATATAAAATATATGCTGAAGCTAGGAGTTTTCTAGTCTTTTATTTTATAACAGTAAAAACTGATTGATATATCATTAGAGACCTCTCAGTACCAAACCTGGTGCTGAATAGAGTTTTAAAAATTATCTCTTCCACTCACTTTTGCTGTGAACCTAAAACTGCACTAAAAAGTGAAGTCTGCTTTTAAAAAATTATGCCCAGGTTTCATGAAAATCTTAAGCAGCATCCCTATCATTTATGAAGCTCATCACTCATCCAAGGTAAAAAAAAAAAAGTTAGAAGATTCAAACCCAGTTCTAACATCTTGTCTATTCCTATTTTATAGGAAGTGACAATATTTATTATGTGCCAAAGGTTATGATAAATACTTTTCATATTTTATCTCAGTCATTTACCAGAAAAGCTGTGGAGATTGCTACAACTCATAGTCTATTTCACAGATGAGAAAACCAAAGCTTATAAAGATCGTACAACTAACTAGTAGAATTTACTACTATTAAGCCCTGGTATCTCTGAAGCCACACCACTTTCCGTCTTTGATCAACACAATCCTGAAAGTCAAAATTGAGACCTGTATTACTTCTAGGGAATTAAAAGATGGGCAATATCTAGAATTTTAAGTATTTTCATGCTAACAAAATTATTTGTATTTCAGGTCTTCCAAAGCAAGAAAAAAAGAAAGATGTTAGACTGGGAGCAGGGAACTCTGCAGCAGATGATTTGTAAAGGTCTTTCCAACTCTAATGCCAGATTTGGTGGAACAAAGGATCTGAGTGTCTGAGACACACAAAAACGCAAAGAAACCATCCAAATTGAAAAGCCTCCTGGTGCCTTTTCATAGAGATTGTTTAAGAATGGTTCGATATTACTCCCTTTGCTATGGTAGTGAACAGATGGTCCGCCCTAGAGGTAGATATAATATGTATTATCAAAAACATGTATGCTTACATTTACAATATAACCATCTTCTCAAAATTCTCTAGGATAAAATATATTCTAGAATAACGAAAACCTCAATTAGAAGAACGATTTGCTTTTAAATTGGCATCACTACTACGGAATCATGTTTACCTTAAAGGAAAAAAAGAAGGACAGAAAGCACCATGGTAAAGTTAAGGGCTGAATCTTAACTTTATTCTGAAAAGGAACAGAAGTTCATGTTCATATGTACTGAAATGCCTTTCAAATTCCAGATGTAATTTCATGGAATCAAACCAGAAAAGACTAAAGAACATTCTATTTTGATGTAACTACCCAACAGCTATAATCCTCTAAGTTCTAAGATATTGTCTGGCTTGGGTGAAGTATACTGCTGTGCTTCCTTGCCTGCACTGCTGCCCAAGAATGCTCCATATTCAACTGGAATATGGAATTAGAAGTAAGACAATTCCCAGGACTCTCAGCTTTGAGATGGAAAGATAGTGACTCACAGACACCAAATTTCCACTTGAATCAATTACAAACAACAATGCCTGATACCTGGATAATAAAATCACGAATCCAAGTCAGATAAAATCTCTTGGAAGACATCTTCCTGGGACCCAAAAGCAGGTATCCTGAACATGCTCCAGCTCTCATTCTATTGCTCAGTGACTAAATAACAGTCTCTCCTTAAAACTTCCCAACTATCTTTTGAAGGACAACTAACCCAAAATAGTTTTAGCACATTACTCCACAGTTTATCCTCCTTTTTCAATCTTTCACACTCTCAAAATGTTATTCTGACACATGTTTACTTACACCATTTAATGTGGGTCAAACCTGTGACTCATTAGCACAGATGTCACACTCCCACCTGATATACTTTACCGCAGAGGTCCCACAACTCACAGAGGGACGCAGAGGAAATGTTACTTAGGAGTCAGATGGACAGAAATCTCTTTTAACTTTTGGAAAGAAAGGGTGAAGGGAAGACAAGGTACAAGGAAAGTGAAAGGCAACCCATAGGCACATACTTACATTGGTCAAGGGGGCATGTGCAAACATAGAAAATCCTTCAAATATATACTCATGATCGTCATATTCTATAACCGTTGGCCTGTCGGTCTGGAAGCAAACAAACAAACCACCAAGTAAATAAATGACACAATTCACATAAACAGAAATCCACTGGGGCCTGAAGTCACAAACAGGAGAAATGCAGGGATTTGTGAACTCAGTGTTTTTCCAAACATCACAGAGAACTTTATGCAAAAGTTTAATATTAGGCAAAATTCTCTTGCTTGGAGAATTCTCTGGCTTCAGATATTTAGTATTTATGTAAGGAGATAATCAATGATGTTTATTTATGGGTGCCATAAAAAAAGGAATTTGTTTTATTTAACCTCATAATACTACCAATCTGTTCTTACTGAGCTCTATTTCTGAACAAGTCCTAACAAGAACAAGTAAACAACACAGTTAACTCAAATGCAAAGTGAAACAAGATTCAGCATCAATATGGTCAAGACTAAAGGCTCGGAAAGGCCTCCGGGTCCCAGAAGTTCAACCTCTCATAGCTCTATCGCCAGCCTCTCTAAGGAGAAGCCAAACCACTAAACACCTCAACAGATCAATTCCCACACAATGTCAAAGGCTGTAATTACATGAAAAGTGAACCTGTAATTAGATCATCAAAATCTAAGCATGAAACACACTCTTCAGGGCTGGCACCGTGGAGCAGCAGGTTAATCCTCCACCTGTGGTGTCAACATCTCATATGGGTGTCAGTTCTAGTCCCACCTGCTCTTCTTCCAATCCAGCTCTCTGCTGTGGCCCGGGAAAGCCGTAGAAGACGGCCCAAGTCCTTGGGCCTCTGCACCCACGTGGGAGACCGGGAAGAAGCACCTGGCTCCTGGCTTCGGATCGGATCAGCACAGCTCTGATCATTGTGGCCATTTGGGGAGTGAACCAACGGAAGGAAGACCTTTCTCTCTGTCTCTCCCTCTCACTGTCTGTAACTCTACCTCTCAAATAAATAAATAAAATCTTTAAAAAAAAAAACAACACTCTTCATAATCCACTCGTATAGTCCACTATTCTTAATTTAAATGCTAAAAATGGAGCTAATTATCAAGGCTGGTAACCTGATATAGTTCTTCTATACATATTGAATATCATTCTTCTAGAAAGTATATGTATAATATTTATATATGTTATATAAATATACATAAAATAGATACACAAATGAGAGCTCAGAGGGGGAAAATTAAGGAATATACAAAAACACATTATTTTCTTATGCCAATATTACTGTTATTTTCTATTTGAATAACTAAACAATGCTGATCTAAATTAAGTATAAAGAAATGAACTTCTGAAGAAATAATGATTAATAATAGTCTGGCCTCTCAGGAAAATAGTTGAGCAGTTCCTCAAAATATTAAGCATAGTTAACACATGATCCAGCAATTCCAATCATGGGTACACACCCAACAGAAATGAAAACATACCTCCATGTAACACTTGTACACAAATGTTCAAAGTAGCATTATTCAAAACTACCAAAAAGTGGAAAAAACTCAAATGTCCATCAATTAATGATTAGAAAAAATAAAATACAGTGTATTCAGGCACCATTCTGCCTTAGAGGGGGTAGTGCTACTTTCTTTCTCTGTGGAGTTGCCCATTATAGATATTGCATAAGAACAGGATAATATAACCAAAGTATTGTATAAGTCTCTGTGCTTTGTTCTCCTGGATGGTTTAATTGAGGTAAACACCAATCTTGTCTTTCTTAATAAAGTCATCATTTGTTAAGTCAAAAAAAAAAAAAAAAAAAAAAGAACAGGATAATATATTATATGGTTCTGTGTCTGATTCATTTACTTTGTGTAAATTTTTCAAGATTCATCCAAGTTGTAGCATACATCAGTACTTCATTCCCTTGTGTTGTCAAATAATAATACTCTAATATTATGTTTGATATTTTCACTGCAGCTGACTCCCTGGGTTCAAATAATCACTCTCCCACTTAGAACCTGAGTAATCTTGAACAAGTTACTTAATTTCGTCTGTAAAACTTGGACTGGTCCTTCATGTGTATAGGAGGAAAGACGCATTCCACAGATCTGTTACAAGAAGTAAGTTAATATCTGTGCAAGCCTCAGAATAATGCCTGAAACACAGTACATGCTCAACAAATATTAAGTACCATTACTGTCATCAATATTCAATAGATTGTGTTGTTTGGGTCTCTAGGCAACAAATAAACTAGCTGCTGATTTTTAAGAAATGTGAAGGTATTTTGTGCATTCTTTCCATTCCAAAGCTCCAAAGAATAGCTCCATAATTCATTGGCTATGATGAACTTGACTACTGTGTGATATTAACAATATGAAAGAAAAAAAAGATACGACAGTATAGTGAGATGAGACTGCAATAATCATCATTATGATAAATACCAAAAATAGTTTGCAAAGAAAAAACATTTAAGAACTGAATCATAAACTTGGCATAAGCACATTTTAAATTATATCAAATCTCACTTTGTTAGGAACTTACTAGAAAGTTTGTAGGAGGGGAGACTGTAATCCGATAGTGGAAAAGTCTGCCAGCATTGTTGGTCATGGGGCGGCAGGGCTTAATGGCCTAAGAGGGAAAAAGAGAAAATGAGTTGACAAGTAAAGCAGCAAAATATTTTTATTTCAAACTAAGACTGTGTTTTCTAGATTCACATCTGAAAAAGAGGCTTTTATGAAAACAGCATTCAGTTTACCACAAAGGAGCTGAAAAAGGGATGGCAGATCTTTTTTGAAGATTTATTTTTTATTTGAGAGGCAGAGTTACACAGAGAAGAAAAGACAGAGAGAGAGAGAGGTCTTCCATCTGCTGGTTCACTCCCCAAATGGCCACAACAGCAAGAGCTGGGCTGATCCGAAGCCAAGAGCCAGGAGCTTCTTCTGGGTCTCCCATGTGGGTACAGGGGCCCAAGGACTTAGGCCATCTTCTGCTGTTTTCCCAGGCACATTAGCAGAGAGCTAGGTTAGAAATGAAACAGCCAAGACACAAACCAGTGCCCATATGGGTATAAAATAAGTGGGTAACCAACAAGAGGACTATGTAGTTTGTACTAACAAGAAGGCTACCAAGAAGCTGAGGGCATGTCACTCCAACAGTCACACTACCATGTCTAGTTCTAAACCTAATCAAGTGGTTGGACTGAAATCCACTGATGGGAGAGAGAACCAGATCCCAGCAGGAAGGGATCCCACCATAAAAGCACAAATGGTGATGACAACACTGTCCTTGCCCAAGGCGCCTATGCAATTTACCTGGGAAAATGTTACCTGGAAAGGGGAATACCCAGGTGGTTCAAGAAGCATTGGACACAGTATCTGAATCCTCACTGACACCTGGAGACTGGATGCATCATCCTGCCACTGTAGCTAGAACAGACAGGAAGCCACCCAAGGTAATAACTGGAGTCTCAGTCAAGATATGGCTTACAGGGACCAGTGCCGTGGCTCACTTGGTTAATCCTCCACCTTGCGGCGCCGGCATCCCATATGGGCGCCAGTTCTAGTCCTGGTCACTCCTATTCCAGTCTAGCTCTCTGCTGTGGCCTGGGAGGGCAGTGGAGGATGGCCCAAGTGCTTGGGCCCCTGCACACGCATGGGAGACCAGGAAGAAGAACCTAGCTCCTGGCTTCAGATCAGCGCAGCGCCGGCTGTAGTGGCCATTTGGGGAGTGAACCAACAGAAGGAAGACCTTTCTCCCTGTCTCTCTGTCTATAACTCTACCTGTCAAATAAAAAAAAAAAAAAAAAGATATGGCTTACAGTGAGTCTACTGAATCCACAGATGGTCATTTCTCTGCCCTTTTTACATAACACTGAAATTAACCTGCATGGCAGTTGGTACCTCTCCACATTGGGCCCATGACCTGTGGCATAAGAACTAACACAATGGAAAAAAACAAGTAAAAGTCACTGAAAATTGCCACTACCACCCCCTCTACACGCACACAGGCATTGAAAATAATATTGCATTGGGGTGGAGGGTGGCCAAAAACTACCACTCTTAAGGATCTGAAGGACACGGAGGTGACGGTAACTATCATATCTCCCTCAAATTCACCACTGTGGCCCCTGAAGGACTCTGGAAAGGCGACAATGGACTATCGTAGGCTCCCAAGCAGTGGCTCTGAACACAGCTGCCACATAAGGTGTTGCAGTTTAGCTGGAGCACGTTATTATATCAGGTACAAAGTACAAGGCAGCTAATCAGGTAAATGAGTTCTTTTCTATCACAATTAGAATGAGCATCAGAATGGTTTACAGACAACATGTACAATCTTGCCCCAGGCTGCCAGCTCTCACACCCACTGTTGTAACAGCCAAAGAGCTCTTGACTTTCGGGAAACACACAGAACATCACACTGCTCCATTACAACTTGGACGTTCTGCTGATCAGGCTAGAGGCCCGGGTGAAACACAAGCACTACAAAGCATGACAGAATCTCTACAAAGATTCGGAGGCCTGCTGCAGCTACTGGGCTGGGTAGAGTCAAGATGCTCCCTCCAGAGTAAAACACAAATCATTCTATCTCCTGTCTCCAACGAGGAACAAGGAAGCCCAATACCTGGTGGACCTCTTCGGGTTCAGGAGGCAGCATGATCACACCTAAAAAAACTGCTCGGGTCCAGTTATAGAGCAGGGCAGAGAGTGCAGCCCAAGTGAAAAAGGCCTCAGAGTTTCCAGGATGAGGTACAAGCAGTATGCTGCTGGGATCAAAATTCAGTTGATGCTACAGTGATGGCAGGAAAAGATGCCAAGAGAACTTCATGGCAGGCCACATGGGAGAACCACAGAAATGCCAGTCCTTAAGGATCTGAAGCAAGGCCACACCATCAATAGAAAAGAACTGTGTCCCTCTGGGAAAAACATAACTCCTAGTATGCTACAGGTCCCAGTTGATGTAGAAGGCCTGGCCCAGGGACATCAAATAGACAAATGGCCAGAACCACCTATCATAAGCTGGATCCCATCTGTCCCACTAGGCAATAAAACTGAGAGGCACCAGTGACCCTGAGAGAGAGGTAAAGAAGCTGAACACGCACATGAGCACAGGGCACAAACGAGTCACCTGGACAGGGCACCTTCCCTCAGCCAATGACTTAAGGATGGAAGGATGATGGAGAAAGAAAACACCCAAGTTTGGTTTGCAGAAAGGTCAGTTGGTAAAGAGGGTGGAAACCAAAGTGGGTTACACCACAGTCTCACTGTGACATGGCTTCGAAAGACAGCAGTGAGGGAGTATGTCACCAATGTACTGTTTTGGGCATGTTAACACAGTCATGTTTGGAAAGAGACGTGGTCTGTGGTTAGACTATAGATAAACTCATGGGCAGAAGAAAGTGGCCTTGCCAGCTGGTCAGGGGCCTAGAAGGGAAAAGTTAGAAGATTAGGGATAGGAAAGTCTCAGGTTAGAGAGATGGGGGTGGATAAATGGGAGGGAGCAGGAGGCTCTCTGTCTCACATACAGATGTCCATCAGGGAGCAACCACCATGGGAGAGATACTAAAGAAGCAAGTAGACAAAGAGACCAGAGCAGTTGGTGCCAGTTAGCATCTGTCCAAAGTCATCCCAGAGTTGGCAGGATAGGTACATGAATGCGGTGGCCACGGAGGCAGAGACAGGGGCTTCACATGAGCCCAGTACCGTGCACCCCACCAACCAAGGCGACACCAAATGCCACTGCTGAACATGCAACTGACCCATGCTGAGGTCCTCAAATGGCACCATTCCTTGAGGAGAACTACCTGCTACTGCAATATGAATATGAATACAGGAAGGGGTCAAAAGGGGTCAAAAGTCGGTTCTTCCAGGAATAAACATACACTCTGAGTATGAGTTTGCCCTCCTCGCCTGCAGGTCCTCAGCTAGCCCCGCCACTCAGCTACCCTGCCTGCTGCCCAACTGTGGGGCTTGCAGTCGATGCAGAGCCTGCTGCTGGTATCTCAGGGTCAGCACCTTGGGGTCAGCCTCAGTTGCAGAGCCTCTCTCCCCAGGTCATGCCCTTCCTTGCATAGGCTGCTCTCTGGACCAAGGGAGATAGGGGTATGAAGACTGTTCACGGACTACACAAGAAAATTCCAACAAGCCAGGCTGGATCAGGCCCATATCACAGGTGCACTGCTCCTTCCCAATCTGTCCTATGCTCCCTTCTTGTCATAGATACAGATCCCTAGTAACCAACCACTCAGAGCCCCAACCCCAGGTACATACACGGACACTCACAGATGCTATCTTGCCCCATAATACCTTGCTGCACTTGCTGACTTTAAAGACAAATGGAGGTGAAAATGAGGCATATGTTCAAATTATCAGGCACTCTCATAGTCTTTTCTTCAATTCTATGGCCCCAAACAAGTTTTATACAGAAACTGAGAATTTACATATACTAATGTTTAAATACAAGATGAGGAAATAAAGTGATAATCCTGGGATTAATAGCTTATAAAAAATAAAAGAGGGAAAAATAAATGAAAATCATCAAAATAGGAACAGTAAGAGAGGCTTGTGCAATATAAAAGTGTTCTACCATTCCATCGAAGTTCTTTAGAATGTCCCCAACAAGCCGGGGCTGGGGATACACAGTATCTACTCACAGTTTGATGGAGACAGTAGGCCAACTAAGACAATGAATGTGACAAGCGCTGCGGTGAAGGGCAAGCACCCATACACGGCTACGGTGGCCTCGCTATCTAGCCAAGAGGGGGTGTGCCTCACAGCAGTTTAATCAGATAACTAAAAACATGAAAAAATTATAATATGTGCAGTTTTAGAATCCTTAAAATAATAAAACATGTATCAAATCCACCTTGCCTATTTTTTTTTATTTATTTGACAGGTAGAGTTATAGACAGTGAGAGAGAGAGACAGAGAAAGGTCTTCCTTCCGTTGGTTCACTCCCCAAATGGCTGCTACAGCCAGCGCTGCGGCAATTGAAGCCAGCAGCCAGGTGCTTCTTCCTGGTCTCCCATGCGTGTGCAGGGGCCCAAGCACTTGGGCCATCTTCTACTGCCCTCCTGGGTCACAGCAGAGAGCTGGACTGGAAGAGGAGTGACCGGGACTAGAATCAGCACCCATATGGGATGCCAGCACCGCAGGTGGAGGATTAACCAAGTGAGCCACAGCGCTGGCCCCACCTTGCCTATTTTAAATAATAAGCCTTCCAAAATATCTTTGTTTCCTTAATAACATTCCCCACTCCATGCCCAAAACCCAACTATTTTTGCCTCTGCAATTATCAGTAACAGAGACTATTTGGAGGTATGAAAAGACCATTTTGATGATATCATCTCATTAAGACGAAGAGGAATAGCCACAGCACCTGTCTGCGTTTGGCTTTTGGTGCTCATGGACGTCATAACTTGAACCACTTACCTCTTCTCCAGGATAAATGCTGTGCCTAATTCCTGTGCGTCGGGCTTTTGCGCTGCACTTGCAGAGTGGCCCATCATTCATCTGTCAGAAATGGAACATAATTCGTTTTTATTAGGGGGAGAATCCACAGCATGCACACTGATGCCTGAGAAACGGTGTGGGTTTTCATGTCACGAGCACCGAAGCTCTGAAGAGGCTGTCACTGTTAGAAGATTAAACGGTTGTTCCGAAACCAATAAAGCTGCAAAGTGTCTATAATGTCTCATAATGGGAATCTCCATGATGCGCTGGGTTCCCCAGTCCTCTGTGTGGCCAAGCAGGAGATGTCAGTGTCAGCACACTTGACCCTCATTTTCCCCTTCCTCTTCAATGTACGCTTGTTCCTATTTCTTATTTCAGAAAAAAATGACTTTCACCAAAAAAAAAAGGATATTTTATATCCTAGAGGAACACACAGTGTATGTGCTGCCGAAGCGAGCACAGGAACACACAGAATGCTCTGAAGGTGATATGCAGATTAAATGCTTTGAAGAGAAGCTTAAAGGTAGCTATGAAGCAAAGAAAGAAAATGCCTACTAAAAGGCTGAAGAAATTCATACCTTCTAGTTAATACTGCTTTTCAAAATCTTACTGAGATATTTTCATTTATATTTTCATACAATGAATTGCAAATCCATAGAAATTTTAGGCAATTTGTGTGTGTGTGTATATATATGTGTGTGTATATATATATATATGTGTGTGTGTGTATATATATGTGTGTGTGTGTGTGTATATATATATATGCAGTCATTGATGTCCATGGGGGGTGGTTCTGGGAATTCCCTCTGTCCCACCCTCTGGATACCAAAATTCAAGGATGCTCAGGTTCTTTATTTAAGATAGTGTACTGTGTGCACGTAAGGTCTGCACATCCTCCTTTATATTTGAAATCATATCTAGATTACTTATATACCTAATACAGTATAAACACTATGTACAGTTGTTATACCATATTGTTTACAGAGTAATCAGCAGAGATACAGTTTTTCCCCATGTGTTTCTCTTTTTCAAAAAAATGTATTTATTTGTTTGAAGTAGAGAGAGAGAGAGAGAGAGAGAGATGCAGACAGAGATACTCCAGTCTACCAGTTCATTCCCCAAATGGCTGTAAAGGCCAGGCTGTGCCAGGCAGAAGCCAGGAGCCTGGAGCTTCTTTCAGGTCTCACACGTGAGTACCGGGGCCCAGGCACCTGGGCTATCGTTCAGTTTCCTCCCAGGCATATTAGCAGGGAGCTGGATTGGTAGTGGAGCAGCCAGGTCTTGAATCAGCACCCACATGGAATGCTGGCACTGCAGGCAGAGGCTTAACCCACTATACCAAAGCACCAGCCCCTCTGTTCAATTTCAATAAAGCAAAAGGTACCACAAAGGACATGTTTGCCAAGCATTCTAACTACATTAATTCCTTTTTCTTTTCTTTATCTTTTTAAAAAATTTTATTTTATTTAAAAGGCAGAATGACAGAGAGGGAAGGAGACAGAGATCATCCATCTGCTGGTTCACTCTCCAAATGGCTTCAATAGCCAGGGCTGGGCCAGGCCAAAGTTCCAAAGTTCCACCCAGGTCTCCCACATTGGTGGCAGGGGCCCAAGCACTCAAGCCATCCTCCTCTGCTTTCCTAGGCACATTAGCAGGAGTCAGATCCAAAATGGAGCAGCCAGGACTTGAACCTGTGCTCCGATATAGGACACTAGCATTGCAGGTGGCAGCTTAACTCACAGCAGAATGCCAGCTCTCTAACTATATTAATTCCATAAAGGAAATTTTGGATAGCTATCATCTAACAAGAATCAGCAGAAGAGTATCTTAATTAATACATGGAATAGTATGGAGTTATTTACAAAATAAATTTTAAATGGTAACATATTGATATATGTTTTCTTATATTAATTCATATGCATTAAAGATACTACCTTTGGATACATTATATATTTCTTTTTTTCTGACAGGCAGAGTTAGACAGTGAGAGAGACAGAGAGAAAGGTCTTCCTTCCATTGGTTCACCCCCCAAATGGCCGCTATGGCCGGAGCGCTGCACCCATCCAAAGCCAGGAGCCAGGTACTTCCTCCTGGTCTCCCATGCAGGTGCAGGGGCCCAGGAACCTGGGCCATCCTCCACTGCCTTCCTGGGCCACAGCAGAGAGCTGGACTGGAGGAGCAACCGGGACAGAATCTGGCACCCCGACAGGGACTAGAACCAGAGGTGCCAGCGCCGCAGGCAGAGGATTAGCCTAGTGAGCCATGGCACCAGCCTACATTATATATTTCTAAGATATGTCTTAAAATTTTTTATTATGTACTACTTCATAATAAAACAGTAATCTTTTAAAATTTATGAATTTATTTATTTTAATTGAAAGGCAAAGCATCAGAGAGACAGGGAGCACCAGAGAGGGAGAAAAAGATATCATCAATCCACTGGTTCACTCCCCAAAAGGCTACAATAGCCAGGACTGCCAGACCGTAGCCAGAAGCCATGAGCTCCATCCTGGACTCCCACAAGGGTGGCAGGGGCTCAGGTATTTGGGCCATCATCTGGCTGCCTTTCCATGGGCATTAACAGGAAGCTGGACTGGAAGCTAAGCAGCCAGGACTTGAACTGGTATTCTATTATGGGATGTGGATATCCAAAGCGACAGCTTAGCCCACTGTGCCACAATACCGACCCCAATAAATCAGTAATTAAAACAAAAATCATCCAGCTATTTCAGCATTAACTAGAATATACTTTTAACAAGAAAAAGAACTTACAAGGATATGTGATTGACCAACTCAAAAAAACTGAAGTTGTATAGGACTATTTTGTTTACTATTTTGCAGCAAGATACCTTCCAGGTGAACTGCTTTTAAAAAGACCTATGAGTTCTCTCTCCTCCTTCCTACCATTTCTCTCCTTTCTACTACAAAGTTTAATGAGGTGGTGCCATTGTCCTGCTCCCCAACGCAGAATTTACAATGGTCGTCGAATATGATTCAAGGAACAGCTGCCCTGCAGCTGAACTCTGAAGCTGAAAAGAAATAAGGTCTGAAGAATGACACCTAATGCTGAGAATAAAACTCAGTTTCAATACCAGCCAGCATCCATCTCCTGAGCCCAGAGACATAAATGTGACATGTGGGTCTGCAACCTCTAGAGCAAGAGCATAAAAACACACGCACCTGGCCTGGGTCGTTGTACCACAGCTCATCGTGAAGTCGGTCAGGGTGGGCTTTTTTGCGCTTGATTTCTGCAATGACGTCGAAAACCTCGGAGTCAGAGCTGCTAGAACAAGTGCTGTCCTCATCGGATTCACATTCGGATTCACTGGAGCTCTCTGATAGCAGTTGGGGAAAAACATGGAAAGAAGTTGAAGAAATTAACACAGTGGTTTTCGTGCAGACTTCCAGGCGACCCTAACCTCTAAATATAAACACAGCTCTTTGTTCTTCCAGCAAACATCTGATGGCCTACTCTGTACCACTGAGCTAAGTGATACCACAAACAATCATGCAGCTCATAAGAGTAAGTCTGAAGTCTAGATGGGAAGATGAAGAAAACAAAGATTATTTTACAGGGAAAATAAGATTTAAAGGACGATGCTAGATAAAATGAAAACAACACAGTGGTAGTATGCAAAGCTACAGCAGGGCAGTGTTTGGTGTAGTTGTTAAGATGATGACTGGGATGCACACAACACATATCAGAGTGCCTGGGTTCAAGTCTTTACCTGGCTCCCAATTTCACCTTCCTGTTAGGCACACCCTGGTAAGCAATGGTAGCAGCACAAGTAACCATGTTCCTGCCACCCACTCTGGAGATCTGCATAGAGTGGCTGGCTCCTGGATTGAGCCTGGCCCAGCATGCGCCATTGCAGGCATTTGGGGAATAAATCAGTGGATGGGAAATCTGTCTGCTGGTGTCTCTCTCTCTCTCTCTCTCTCTCTCTCTCTCTCCCTTTCAAATAAACAAAATTTAAAAACCCATTAAGGGGCAGGTACTTTGGCATAGTGGGTAAAGTCACCACCTGCATTGCTGGCATCCCATATAGGTGTCAGTTCAAGTCCCAGCTACTCCACTTCTGATCTAGCTCTATGCTATGGCCTGGGAAAGCAGTAGAAGATGGCCCAAGTCCTTGGGGTCCTGCACCCACTTGAGACCCAGAAGAAGCTCCTGGCTCCTGGTTCGGATCAGCACAGCTCCAGCCATTGCTGCCAACTGGAGAGTGAACCAGTGGATGGAAGACCTCTCTGTCTCTCTCTCTCTCTCTCTCTGCCTTTCCTTTTCTCTCTGTGCAACTCTGACTTTCAAATAAATAAATAAATCTTAAAAAAAAAACCATTAAAGTTTTATTTAAAAAGTTATAATAATCTGAAAAACAGTAAATAAATTTTTTAATGTTCTATAAATTTTATTTTTAAATAGATAAAATTTGAAAACCCATTAAATATTTTAAAAGTTAGAGCAATCTGGAAAGCAGAAAGTCAACCGTGATCCCAAAAGGTAAGTGAATAATTTCTCAGGAGAGGCCCTGAATGGGACGGGAGCAGGCTGATAAGGAGGTGCAAAGAAGAAAGGGACACACAAAGGAACACTGGAGCGACGGCGGAGGAGTGACTGCCTTGTGGGGACAGTTTCACTCCTGCAAGAGGAAGCAGTTCTACAGACCGGCCCCAAAACAATGCATTCTTGAACTGAACAGTAAAAAATGATTAAGATGGTAAACTCTGGTATTTGTAATTTACTGCAATTTTTTTAAATCCATAGGAGCTGGAATAATCCTCCAAGAGATTAATGTAGTAGCAGCAAACATAAGTGGTAAAACCCAACACAGAGCTGTATTTTCATGTACTGCATGAGGAGGACACAACTGTCAACCCCATTTCACAGATGGGAAAACTGAGGCTCGATGATTAATCACCTGCCCAAAGTCATCGAGCAAGCACATGCTGCAGTACAATTTGAGGCCAAGGCATCTGGCTCCCAAGTCAGTGCTCTTACCACCATGGATATTGCCTCTCAGCACTGAGACATACTCAACGTGAACAGGCAAGAGCCACGGAAACCACAGCTAAGAGTATATACTGAATGTCTCGCCTGTGCATGATATTCATTAGGGGCTAAGGACACAAGATGGTGAAAAGCAGTTTCCGTCCTCGAACATCTCAGCATCTACTTGGAACCGGAGGACATACACATGACCAATACAAGAAAATTACACAAACTGGCTATGTGAATACAGAACCCTTTAAAAAGCATTGGGCTATTAACTGCTGTTTCCTCAGCAAGCCAGGAGCACCTGGTTTTGCAAGGGGAGGGCGCTGCCTGGCGAACATCAGAGGCATGCGGCCCAGGCTCCCACTTTCATGGGACATGGACTGGCAGTCCCAACTTCTAAGACTGTACAACTCAAAGAGACAAGCTGGCTAGCATGCCTGGCAGATGAGACCCTTGTATCTTCTACTAAGGTAACTGAGGAAAAGTAACATCAGAACGAAGGAAGTTTTACCACTGTGTACTCTGTTGACCTTAAGTAAGAAAAATAAAATGACAATGAAGACACTTCACTTTGGGAATCCCAAAAGTTCAGGATGAAGCCAGAAGGGCAGAGTCTTGAACTGGCGACCCTGACTCACCTAAGTCTTCATCTAGCTTCGTTTTCGGAGGTTCCCACGGAGGCCTGGCAGCCTTGGCCTTCTCTTGCCTGCTCCCCAGTTCTTCCTCAAATCGGTCATATAAGTCGCGGAGCCGACTTGTTCCAACCACAGTAGAATCCCCCTTTTCAAAATAAAGGATCCACATTAGGAGTCAGGTTAACAAGGGTAACATGAAGGATACAGAAGATCTCTAAGGTAATCAAAGAATTTTTAACACCGAGGTGTCACTTTTCAATCCTCCTAAGAACCACTTACAAACGTAATGCTCAAGGCTGGCAATGATACTGAGAGTCAAGCACACTCTTATAACAGACACCATCCTCAGGTAAATGGGTTTTGCCAATATCCAGAAACATGAGAACTGTTCATCTATGCCCTGTTGATGACACTTAAAAAGCAAATGATGATCCTCAAAGAATTCATGACAATTGACTCGAGACACTCACCTACTACAAAATCATTCACATTCTACTACATTAACTCAATACACAAAAAGAAATAGCCTATATATCCCCACCTCTCTCTCACACAGACACACACACCACAAAACACAGGGGTTCTACAATTCGACACTCCTAGACGAAGTTCTTAACTCCACATTCTTTAAAAGTTGGAAATGTCCCATCTCTTTGACTTTGCCTCAAAATGTAAAATCCAGATCTTTCAAATGAAAAATGAAATGAAGGGGGCCGATGCTGTGGCACAGCAGGTTAATGCCCTGGCCTGAAGCTCTGGCATCCCATGTGGGCACCAGTTCGAGACTTGGCTGCTCCACTTCTGATCCAGCTCTCTGCTATGGCCTGGGAAAGCAGTAGAAGATGGCCCAACTCCTTGGGCCCCTGTATCCGTGTAGGAGACCCAGAAGAAGCTCCTGGCTTCGGATTGGTGCAGCTCCAGCCTTTGCAGCCAATTAGGGAGTGAACCATCAGATGGAAGACCTCTCTCTCTCTCTCTGCCTCTCCTCTCTCTGTGTAACTCTGACTTTCAAATAAATAAATAAATCTTTACAAAAAATGAAATGAAGGCAAACCATAAAATTTGCAAGCCAGAGGATGAGTAGAATAACTGTTTTTCCTAAAGCCCCATCTCAGTACTGAGCCGGGCAAAACCAGGACAGCTCTGACATTCTCACAACGTCCTCTGCAACGTGGGTGACGAAACTCAAAAATCAACGATAGACTGTTGGTTTATCAGCCTTCCTTATACAGTGAAATTTTATTAACTCCATAACAACATAAGGAAAAGAGACCAGCTCTGTCCTAAACTCTCTTAGGCTTGGTGTCTTCACTTTTACTGCTTTTAAACTCTTCAGCCACTTTTCTCTTCCTACCAAAAGAACCATATCCCTCCAAAGACAACTATGTCTTAATCCCCGTTACCACACACAGCAGAGAAGACTTGCAGATGTAATTAAGATTATAGAATTTGAGATCATCCTGGATTATTGGATGGACTCAGTCTAATCACAGGAGTTCTTGAAAGTACAGAACCTTTGTTACCAGGGGTCAGAGATGCAACAGAAAAAGAGGCAGGAGATAATCAAAGCATGAGAAGGACTTGAACAGTCACCACAGCTTCGAAGATGAGGAAGGGGTCCACAAGCCAAGGAATGAACATGGCCTCCAGAAGCTAGGAAGAGCTCTCAGCCGACACCCAGCAAGGAAACAAGGGCCTCTGCCCTTCCGGCCACGAAGAACCAAACTCAAAAGCATGCAGTCCTGCTGACACCTTCATTTAGCCAATGAGACTCAAGTTGGACTTCCTACCTTCAGAGCTGTAAGTTGATAAATGCATGCTGTTTTAAGCCATGCAGGTTGTGGTTCTTTGTCATGCTGGAACTTTGTTATGACAGTGATGGAAAACGAATCCCTTGGGCAGCTGTGGTGACAGGAGGGAAGTGGAGCGGGGCAGGTGCTAGAGGAATGCTCCACCCCACAGGCCCTCTGCATCCTCCACGGGGCCACAGCTGTGTGAGGACATGATGCCTGCAGGTGCTCCATCAGCCTCCAACTGTGGAAGATGCTCAAGATGAGAACAGAGCCCTGACATCACCAGGCCTCCCTGCAGACGCCTTGTAATGGAAGAAATACACTCAATGCGTTCAAGTCACACGAAGCCAGGCAGTGTTATCTAGACAGTATTCCCAATCAACAGCACACCTTGCTGCCAGGGAGGCTTTGAGGACTGACACGCAGCTAACAAGAGAAGCAAGATGGAAACATTCCAACGTGGTCCAGCTGCTCACTACGTGAGCTGCTCCTTCCCCATATCACAAGACCTATTATGACTGAGAAGGCACTGTAATTCACCAAGTTCAGCATCACCCACTATAAGGACTTTCTAAAACTCCTTCCCAAAAAGCAAGGAAATCTGCTCTAAAGCTCCCCACAAATAAGGGTCCAAAGAGAAGCATAGATAGCCTCAACTTAGGGTGGCTCAACCTAATGATACTTTTGGCTTTTCCATGCTGCAAAAGTGACACGTGGTCAACGGAAACTGTACTTTGAATTCTGAATTTCAAACTTTTCCAGGACTAGTATCATGCAGTTTGATCCTCCTTCTCAATGCTGGGCAGCCCCAGCTCCCAGTTAACCCTGCAGTAACAGTGGGGTGGTGGTAGGAGCGGAAACGATCTCTACAGTGGGCCGTGTTGCCAGCATTTTTTGGATACAGCGTTCAATAAATTACATGAAATAATCAACATTTTATTATAAAATGGGCTTTGTGCTAGATGATTTTACCCAACTACAGGCATTCTAAGCACATCTGGGATAGGCTTGGCTAGGACTGGTGTCCTGGCGCATGGGTTAAGCAGCTGCTTGTTACACTGGCTTCCCATATAGGAGTGCCGTTTCAAGTCCCGGCTACTCTGCTTCCAATCCAGCTTCCTGCTAACATGCCTGGAAAGGCAGCAGAATATGGCCAAAGGACTTGGACTCCTGCCACCCATGTGGGAGACCAGGATGGAGTTCTTGGCTCCTGGCTTTTGCATGGCCTAGACCTGGCTATTGTAGGTATTTGAGGAATAAACCAACAGATGAACAATATTCCTCTCTCTCTCCCTGCCACCACTCCTACTCACTCTCACTCTGTCACTCTTTAAAAACAAAATAAAAGTAGGCTATGCTAAGCTGTGATGTATGGTAGATTCAGATGTATTAAATGCATTTTCAACTTACAATAGGTTTACTGATATATGTTAAGGATTCCATGTATCGCCACAAAATTCCAAACACAATCCTCTCTTTACCTAATCCCATATACTAAATCTAAGATCTTTAGCTATTTTTAAAGACTTACTTTTATTTGAAAAGTAAAGCAACATAGGAGGAGAGAGAAATCTTCCATCCACTGGTTCACTCCCCAAATGGCCACAACAGCCAGGGTTTAGGTTATGCAAAAGCCAAGAGCCAGGAACTCTATCTGAGTCTCCCACGTGGGCGGCAGGGGCCCAAGCTTGGGCCATCATCTACTGCCTTCCCAGGGGCTTAGCAGAAAGTTGGGTTGGAAGCCAAGCAGCTAGGACTCGAAACAGCACTCTGATATGGGATGCTGGTATCACAAATGTTGACTTAACTTGCTGTGCCACAACACCAGCCCCCAGCGTCTCCAACTTCTGAGGCACTAAATCTGTAGATCTTTCCCTCATTCATTCAATCAATGAACATTACCACATGACTTTACTCTGTGGTAAATATGTCTATATTAATGGTTGAACACATAACACTAATGGGGAGGACAGAAAGAGACAGAAGAGAGGCAGAGAGACAGAAAACAGAGTGGAGATAAAAGAAAAGGTTAAGGGGCCGGCACTATGGCATAGCAGGTAAAGTCACTGTCTGCAGTGCCAGCATCTCATATGGGCACTGGTTTCAGACCTGGCTGCTCCACTTCCAATCCAGTTCTTTGTTATGGCCTGGGAAAGCAGTGGAAGATGGCCAGAGTCCTTGGGCCCCTACACCTACATGGCAGACCTGGAGGTAGCTCCTGGCTCCTGGCTTCACATCAGCCCAGCTCCAGCTGTTGCAGCTATCTGGAGAGTGAACCAGTGGATGGAAGATCTCTCTCTCTCTCTCTCTCTCTCTCTGCCTCTACCTCTCTGTAACTCTGCTTTTCAAATAAAATAAAATAAATAAATAAATAAGGAAGGAAGGAAGGACGGACAGGTTAAAAGGTGAGCATACAGAGATGGTGCTAGAACCCACCATGCATTGAGAATGCTGGCTACCAGGTCACACCAGCCCAACCCTAGCAGCATTAACAGTCCTCACCATAGCCCAGTTAGGGTAACAATAGTGCCCCTTATACAAAGCCACTCACTTTGTAGAACGGATCTTTTGGTCAAGGAGTTTGAGACAAACTCATTCTTAATTTTCTACTTGGGGGGGTCAGGAAGCACACCCACAGTCATACATACCACAAACTACATAAACTAGTTACAGGTGGGAGCTTCTGACACAACACACATCAAGACCATCAGTGTCATAAGAAATGCAGAACAAACAGATACTTGAATTAACCTGAACTCTTGGCCTTTAATTCTCAACTTGGGGTGATTTTCCCCAGGAAACATCTGGCAGTAACTGAAGACATTTTTGGTTATCACAGCTGGAAAGGAATACTACTGGCACCTAGTGGGTACAGTCCCAGAACATGCAGGGCAGCAGCACAGTAAAGAATTACCCGGCCCATAGGGTGGGCATTTGACACAACAGTATGGCGCTGCTTAGGATGCCCATGTCCCATGTCGTGGAGTGCCTGGTTCCAGTCCTGGCTCCTCCACTTCTGATCCAACTTCCTACTAACAGACAGCCTGAGAGGTGGCAGGCAATAGCTCAAGTACATAGGTCGCTGCCCACATGGGTACATGGAAGACCCAGATTCAGTCCTTGGCTCCTGGCTTCAGCTTGGCCCAGCTTCACCAGTTTCAGGCATTTAGGAGATGAGCCTTTCAAATAAAATTAAAAAAAAAAGAAAAGAGAATTATCTGGCCTGAAATGCCAACAGCACTGGTCTTTGGCTTCTCCCTGTTTCAGACCTACCACCTGATCCATGGGGTCACTGGAGTAGTAGTTTTCAGAATGGGTACATCGGATCCACACAGGCTTAAGCAGCTCTTCTTCCTCCTCCTCATTTTTGTCAGGCAACGTCTCTTCTGGCTCCTTCTCTTTGATTGACGTGTAATTCTTCTCTTTGCCGGAGCTCTGGTTGTCATTCCATCTGTCTTTTTCTTCCTCCCAACGGGCTCTCTTCTTCTCCCTACTTGGGGAGCGACTTCAAAAGGGGCAAAGGAGGTTAATGATTAAAAATGCTCTGCCGTTGTGGAAACCATTCTGTTTCACCTGCTTTATGCAGTTTTCACCTAAAACACAAACATCACACCAAACTACCATATTGTCTTTCATTAAACCAGTGATTCCCAAACACTGGGCTGGTGGCATCAGAATCACCCGAGGTTTACTTGTTTAAAAATACAAATTGCCAGGCTTTTTTGGCCCTACCCTAGATCTACTTTCTGATTCACAATCTCCAGGGGTGGGGCCCAAGAATCTATATTTTTAATAATCTCCCCAGGTAATTCTGGTGCACAGCCAGTAGGTTCAGGGACAACTAGCAAACACTAACTCCTAGAAGAGAAAGTTATGTAGCAAAATTTTGGATATCGCCACATATGGACAATTTCAGCAGTGAGGCCTTATGAATTCTCCATGTTTTGCTATGCCAGGAAAAAAATTTTTTCACAGAACATGATTTCCATTTGGTCATAAATTTAGCCTGAGGACGATCAGTCAAGAGTGAGCTAGTCACATCATCCTGACCACCTCTCTGCAACCCTAGACATGGCTACTACACTTACTGAACCACACTCTGCCTAATTCTGACCCCAACAAATACTAACAAGGAAGTTATAGAGGACAAAGAAACAATAACCGTCTCTTGGGATTCCTGAGGCTTGAAATCTGTAAGACCCATCCTATGGGAATACTGGAGGGAAAAACTTACAGGAGAGTCATTTAAGTTCAAGACACTGAAGTACAGAACTTGAGAATCCAGCTAAGAACACTTGCTTCAATAGACCAGCTGGTGGCCACCACAGCACCAGTACCAAAGTTACTACCATCCGAAAAAACTGAAATCCAGATCAAACTCAAAAAGCATTTTCATTAACGTCTAATTTTAAAACAGGGGACATCTACCTGTATCTGTAGGAAGCAGGTGTGCTAGGTGTGTCTACGTGGGAGGGCTGGAAAGATCACACATGTTGACAGCTTATTTACGTAACTTCTAAATATCACAAAATGCATCATTTGCTTTGTTAATGAGAAACAGTTATTGCCAAAATTAAATGTGTTAATTTTAGAAAGATAATAAAGCATAAACAGAAACCACCTATACCACGGCTCAGAGATGATAACCACTATATTTCAAAAATGTTTTAAAGCATATATAGACATACTAATGTACAAATAAAATTTACACATTTTAACAATAAAAAAAAGAACTCTAGAGCCTGTCCTTCTCATTCAACAGTAAATCAGGAACACCTATCTCAATCCACCTACATCCAAACCATTTTTAATAAGTGTACATTAGTCCCTTATATGTATATACCATAATTTTATAAATACAATGATATTCATTTAGGTTGTTATTGTCTTTTTTCCACCATAAACAATTTTACCATAAACACACTTGTGTTCTTGGTACACCTGCCAGATTACCTCCCCAAAATGTGTGTGCTCTGTTCAAGACAGGCAGCACCAGTTCACACTACCATGTGTATGTGCTTCTCTCCAGACAGGCAGTACCAGTTGAGGCTACCATCACAACCATATGTAAGTTCCCATTTCCACACAGCCCATCAAAATGCTTGCTTTTAACCTTTGCCATTCTAACAGAAAAAATATAGAATTTAATTTGCTATTTTTTATCACTACTGAAATGAATACAGTTCATGTTCACTTCTTTTGTGAACATCCCAGTCATGCTATGCTAATACTTACTAATTAGGACTGTAGCTTTTTTTTTCTATTTACTGAAAGTTTTTAAGATAATTATCCTTCTGTCTAATGAACTGTAACCTTTACTAATTTTTTGTGTTCCTTTTACTTCATTTTTTTTTTAAGATTTAATTATTTAAAAGGCACAGTTACAAAGAGAAAGGGAGAGGAGAGACAGATTTTTCCATCCATTGTTTCATTTCCCAAATGGCTACAATACCCAAGGCTGGGCTAGGCAGAAGCCAGGAGCTCCATCGGGGTCTCCCATGTGTGTGGCAGAGGCACAAGTAATTGGGCCCTCTTCTGCTCTTTTCCCAGGCACATTAGCAGGAAGCTAGACCAAGAAGGTGGAGCGGCTGGGACTTGAACTGGTGCCCATACAGAATGCCAACCAACATTGCAAACAGCAGCTTAACCCGCTGAGCCACAGCACCAGCCCCTTTTAATTCTGTTTATTTGTTGCTACATACAACTTTTATAAAGTCAAATCCAGAGAGCTTTTTGTTTCCTACCTTAGTGTATGCTTGGAAATTCTTTGCCATCACAAAATAAATATATATTTTATATTTTCTTCAATTACTTTTTTTTTTTTTTGACAGGCAGAGTGGACAGTGAGAGAGAGAGACAGAGAGAAAGGTCTTCCTTTTTGCCGTTGGCTCACCCTCCAATGGCCGCCACGGCTGGCGCGCTGTGGCTGGCGCACCGCACTGATCCGAAGGCAGGAGCCAGGTACTTCTCCTGGTCTCCCGTGGGGTGCAGGGCCCAAGCATTTGGGCCATCCTCCACTGCCTTCCCGGGCCACAGCAGAGAGCTGGCCTGGAAGAGAGGCAACCGGGAAAGAATCCGGCGCCCCGACCGGGACTAGAACCCAGTGTGCCAGTGCCGCTAGGTAGAGGATTAGCCTAGTGAGCCGCGGCGCCGGCCTCTTCAATTACTTTTAACAACGAATTTTTTTTACTTTATCTCTCTAAAATGTATGGCAAAAATCTAATTTCAGCTTTTTTCTCCAAATGGCTTATCAATTGCTAGTATCTCCACTGATTTTAAAGATCAGCTATATTATTATTGATATAACTTTATGTATTATTAGATACAAATTTAATAAACCTAAAACTTGCTCAGTATGTCTCATTGACCTACTCATACCAAAATTTAAAAATTATTATGTATTTTCAGAACATTTAATACTAATAGAGTATTAGTATTTTATATTCCAAAGAAAAATTAAACTGTCATCATGAAGTTCTAATACCAATACTCTAACTGTTGTTACATTGCAACAATAGACTATTTGGAAGAAAATCAGTATATTTACAACACTGTGTCCCACGATAGCAGGGGTAGGGAATGTCCAAACCCATGAAATCATTTAATCTGGCCCTGCAAAGTCAACCAGAGGCAGTACTCGATATTCAATAAATATAAGGCAGGCTACTTTTGAAGGCTGATAATTTTGTATGGCCTGCAAATCATATTTCACAACAGAAAAAAGGCTCCCACCCCTGCACTATGGGGTACACATGGTCTCCATCCATCTATATCAACTCTCTGTCATCAGCTACATTCTATAATTTCCTTCTCTTTGGTTTTATGAAGATTTAAAGTTTATTATAAGACATTCAATTTTAATTAAGATTTCTGTAGCAAATATATTTTTTTCCCATTACATTTTCTACCTGGGTAATCCTGGCTATTAGAATATCATCAGTTAATAATAGCTTAGCTCCCAGTGGCTTTTTGCTTGTTTTGGTGTTTACTGAGAGCTTGACACTTTGCGAGGCACTTTATTGACATTTCTACATTTGATCCCAATGTGGCAAAGAGTAACATTTCCCACAAAGGAGAAAACCATCTTTAGAAATTAGTCACTTACCCAGTAATCATAAAGCTCATAAATGGTAGTTAAATGCTTACATCACTGCCCCAGATATTTTAACATGCTCTAAAAAAATCCCAATACTTATTATCATTATGGGTATCAAGCAACACAAGGCAAAAGACATCCTCAACCCATTCCCTTTAAGCAGGTGTCTTGAATGTAGGGGGTTGTCTGCTGTGACTATCAATTGTTATTCATTTTTAATGCCTTATTAAGAGGGGCAAACATCTTTTTTAGGTAAATGTCTCAGGCACTCCAAAACTCAAAACCCAAACTCCAAATGGTTTCTCTCAGCAGTGTGCTCTACCACAAACTGTGGTGACTTCTCCTTCTCCACATCCCTAATTTTTATTTTCTGCTCTACCTCATTAGTTAAAACTCACAAAATAATCCAAGTATGACTTCTCTGCAAGCTGCCGGGCACTGGAGAAGAAACCATTCGATTATTTCCAGCAATGTTACAGTAAAAATCATGAACTTCAAACAGGTCCTCTTCAATGTCCACCAACACACTATCCAGGCTTTTCTGCTATCTCTCTAGGCCCTCTTCTCATGCTTTCTAGTTAATCTCCTCTAATCCATGGCATTTATTATTCCCAGCTGAATTTTACACCTGGTTATCCAGTTAACAACCACACAATTCCATCTAGATGTCTCTGATTCTGGACAATCAATCGGCATCCTCCAAAGTGAATTCATCTACTTACCTCTTTCTTGGTATCCCTCATCCTCAACGGGGAACACCAGATCTCAAGTGATCACTCAAATCTTCCCTCAGCCTAACATATTTGATAGGTCAAGTCCCACTGACTCTCTCATAAATACTGCAATGACATTCACCTTTCCCCATTACCCTGGACTATTCCACAGTCATGTGTCACGTAGATTCCTAAAAAAGCCTTTGAAACTGATTGTCAGACCTCCAGGCCTAACCCTGGAGCATTCCTCCTCACTCCTTGCCCCTGCCACCCCTCTTTCCCAGTGCATTCCAGTGCAAACTTCAGGTACCCTATACTACCCTGGACTGCATTTTTCACTGCTATGTTCCCAGAGCAACTTGTAACTGTCCTAAGAAAAGCACTTACAGCTTTGTCTATAAAGTGGGGGCTCTTACTAATGATTGCATCACCCACACCAATATAAAACCTGGGACATAAGAATGCTAAATTTTTAATTTGCTTGTTGATTGGATCACAGCGTTAGGCAACAGTGACAGGCAATGGAGACCTCTTTTCTTTTTTGAAACTTCTATGGAAAGGCCTATGGGTTTCAACATTAAATCTGCCTCTTTTGGGGTAATATCAACTATGTTCATCATGAGACATGTTAAAGAAGTCTGTTCATACTCCTACTTTCCTAAAGTAGTACTCATAAATGGATGCTGGTTTTATTTTAAATACCTATTAGGCAGGTACTGAATAACCCTAAGGATTTTAACACAAACAAATCACAGATTTTCTAATACCAAAAATCTACCCATGAATCTTGGAATCAACTCTATTGGTTATATTAATACACTACTGAAAACAACTTCCCAGTATTCTAACTGGTATTTTTATACCCAAGTTCATAAGAAACTGGAGATTGTTTTGTAGTTGCCTTTTCCTCTGTTAGGTTTTTGCCATCTGGCTTTTCTGCTCAGCATGAGCTGAGCTTTCCTTCCACATTCTTCACTGTTCTACAACAGTCTGAAATTTTGAAGGTGGTACAAGTTTAACTTTTAAAAAGTATTCCATGGTTACTTGTCTATCATAGTTTTCTGCTTCTTAAGTGAAATTTGTAATTTTTGTTTTAGAAATCAAGTCCAAGTTTTTAAAGAAAATATCTGCCCCATATTATTCTTAAAATCATTTCATTCTTGTAATAATACTTTCTCATACTTAATGTTGCATATTTTTCTTCATTTTCCACCCTTTTGAATTGTATAATCTTGCAAAGAACCAAGTCTTGCATTTACTTACAAATATAGTTTGAGTTCTCTTTCAATTTCATTAATGTATTTCCTATTTAAATCTCTTTTTTTGTCTTTATTATATTCTACCAATTTCTAAAGCCATGTATCCACATAATAATTACATACATGGTTACTATTTTCCTGGCACTCATTTTAGGCCCCAAGCACATGACATGCATTATCTCAGTGACCTCTCACTGCCCAAGGTAAGTTTAACTGTCCTCATTTTACAGATGAAGACACTGAGGCTTAGAAAGGTTAAGATTTCATCCAATGTCAAGGTTGGGAGGGGCAATAACGAATCTCAAATCTGTCAGACTCCAGAGTGCCCCTCTCAACCACTATTATATAAGACCTTAAGTTTTATTTCTGGATCTAGAGTTGGTCACATCTTGTAAGTTAGGGGCTATAGCAATCTCAATGTCATTTTTCTAAGATTGTAGGATTGTGGTTTTGCTCTTTTTTCTGAAAAGGGCCTGAAAGCATACTTATGAATTTCCAAAGGTTTTCTTTTTTTTTAATTTGAATGTTTAGTGTATAGTTTTATAGCACTGTGGTTAAAAAAAAAAAGTGACCTGTATAATTTCTAATTTCTGGAAATTGATCAAGATTTTCCTTGTGCATAATCAATACAACTGGAAAGTACAGGCATGGAAGCAATGGCTGCTGCAGTTTTTCACAGGTCACCTTGGACAAATTCGGAGGCTGTAACAAAGACTTGGCTGACACTCTGCACAAGCACAAAATCCAAATTCAAGGAGATAATCCTATGACTTCTTTCCAGGTCAACTCCTTGCTTACCTTCCAGATCTCTTATACTCTTTTTTGTAGGACCTTTCCAGAGATGGTGATCTTCGGTTGTCCCGGTGCCTGTGTCTCTCCCGTTCCCGCTCTCTTAAAGGAATTAATACACAGAGCTGTTTTCAACAGAAAGACTCAAAAACACCATCTCTTTTCCCTGAATTCATCTCCTAAATAAATGGACCACACCAAGAATTTTTCAGGCACTATTCACTAGGGGACATTTTATATTCCTCTTTAATTTAGTAGAGGATAAAGGAACTTTACAGAAGCTAACTAATGTGGACAATATCTCTGTTCTCTTGAAAGAAAGAAGTCACAGTTGATACTAGGGAATTTTATCATAAACTACTCTCAAGACCATCCCATCAGCCAATCTTTGGTTATCTAACCTACAGGGAAAACTTTAGAGGACTCTACTGCCTGCTGATTTCTAGAAAGCTCTCAATTTCACCCACCAAATACACTTGATATTAGCCAAAAGGCCGAGAAGCGATCATCCACCAAATAAAAGCAAATTATAAAACTTTTATAGCAAAGATGAGAATATGGTACTATACTGAAAGAGCTCTGAATTCTGATGGATTATAGTCCTGAGTCGTAGTCCTGTAACTAACATATCAAGAGACCATAAAATGAATAAGATACTTCAACGCTAATTAGCTGGAAAAAGCTAAATGTAGATGTTGAGTTTATGTAAAAATGAAATCAGAGATTTTTTTTAACTTTTTAGAATAAAATCAGAACAACAGTAACAGCTTCTGTTTAGTTAACAGTCTCTTTAGTTAACACAATGAAAATCTAGAACAAAAGTCTGGACTCCAAGGTGTTTAAATCAGAACTACAAATCTAAGGGAAGCAACCACCCAGCCTTAGAATAGGGGCAGGGATGGGGACTGCACAGTTGAGTACCCCTTATCTGAAATGCTTGGGACCAGAAGTTTTTCAAAGTTTCTCAGATTTTAGAACATCTGCATAGACTTTACCGATTGAGGATCCCTAAACCGCAAATCTGAAATACAAAACAGAACACTCCAAGATGTAATTCTCTGAGTTTCACATCAACAGCACTCCAAGTTTCAGATTTGGGAGCATGCCTGAGTTCAAAAATATCCCCAAAGTGTAGCAAACAGAAATATCAACACACACAAGTCAAAACTCACAAAACTGATAGAGACCACTGACTGCTTAGATATCAAGACCAAAAAAATTTCTAATCAAAAGATGTCCCTGTTCTCAAGAAAGACTCCCTTGAAACCACAGGCTTCCAACACACACAATCCTCAGCGACACACCAGCTGCTTAAAATGAAGCCACCAGAGCTTTGGATCCCCCAGTCTTCACCTAACACACTTCTAATATTGCAATTTTCATTTAGGTAGTAAATCTCAATTATAGAAATAAGTGAACGGTGTCACAGAACAAAGATAAAATACCATGTGCAATGGTACAGCTGCTGAAAAGAGTACCTGCCTACATTCCCAACAAAAAACTCTAATTAGAGGACATTCTAATTTTTGTGTTTTAACATGTAGTCAATAGAATTCTGTATTTCAGAATAACATTTCTGTGATTGCTAGCTCTGAGTAGATAGTAATTACAATAATTTGAATAAAAATTATATTACTATTAATGTAAGGGTACTCCATGTAAAGCGAGAAAAACTATGTGTTACTTTTCCCAAAATTCTTCCTTGTCTACAAGTGGTAAAGTATGTTTTCCCCAATATAGTCCTATACATAGAAGTCATATTAGGACATATGTGCCCTATGTTTGTTTCACAGGGGCACTCCAGGGAAGCCAGATGAGCTGCCCTCCACCTAATACCCCAAAGGGAGACAATTATTCCAGTAGCAGTGGAACTGCCCCAGGCACCAAGCACATTCTAAAGCAACTCCAATATAAATTAAGGCCATTTTAGAAAGACACAGATCCTCATGACAGAGGAGTGTGGTTTAAGAAAATGCAGATCTGAGGTAGTCCCGTGGCACCTGAGTTCCCTTACTGAGATCCTCTGTTTACAGGAAACCGGAGCTCATCAAACAAGAGGGAACTTCAAAAAGCTCATGAGAAGATAGCATTCAAAGACAGGCTGGTTTTGATGAAATTTTGAAATCCATGCACAATTTTTTCACCATATACATTTTCCATGAACTTTTTGAAGAACCGCCCTCCCCCAATCATATGCACAGATTTCAAAATGTTTTTGCACCAAGATATTTATCCTTTAATTCCATTTTCCATGAATGTGTGAAGGACCCTCATACATCACTCCAGGTTTAAGCCTCAGTAGAAAAATTCAGGATTTATGGCAGAGCCCTAACAACTCCTCAGTTCACAACAGCATCTCAAAACTGAGGGGGCACAGCGGAGGGACTCTAGGTTGTCTGCAACAGAATGTTTTCACAGAAGCAGGGTTAAATTATCACAGGCCTCTGCCAACTAGTCCCACAGAGTAATAAACAACAAAACTGAGCAGAAACTGCCGTTTATGCTAAAAAAGATTTTTAACTAGCAACTCTCACTTGGCTTTGCCACCCCCTCCTTCCAGAAACCGGTCATCTCCACAGAGACAGGGTCCCTTCTACCCTCCACCAGGCTGTCAGAGAGAGAGGGGCAACAATGCATGTTCCCTCCAACCTGCCCAGCACTAGCCACTCTCTTCAGGGCACAAAATGACCTCTACCATTGAATGAAAAAAAAGTTCAGTCAAAATTAAATCAGCAAAGCCATGAGAAAAATGAGGATTCTGAGACCTGAATGAATTCCAGTGGCCAGTTGGAGGATAGCAATAGGAGTCAAGACCAACTTTTGACAAAGCCATGGCCTGAAGTGGCCCTGTCTGGGGAGCGTAATCAGCACATAAGTTCCACGAGACAATGAAGGCGGACACACTACAAGGGAGACAGGCAGGGCCCACTGCTAGCTGGACAACCAGAAGACCTCCAGGCATCACGACATGGAGTCCACCGAAGGCACAAATACACTCATTGCACGACCTTCTATTCTGCCATATGGACCAATGATTCTTAGCTTTCTAGTTTTTCAGACACATGCCCGCCTCTTTGACAATCTGCTATAAGCTTTCTCATAGAAAAATATACATACACATAAAACTTTGAACACTTTACAGAGTATTTCTACAATCCCTGTTTCAAGAATGCCTGCTGAAAATCTTTTCTCTTATACTTTTAAATATCTGGTCTTTTGGGGAAAAAAGAATTGTAACCTAAAAGGGAACAGTATTTCTAAATACAATTTCCTTCAACAATCTGATGTACAAATTTATGAAAGTGAATACGTTTTAATCGAACAAAATGTTTAAAAGCTATTTCAAAAACTATACCTTCGATAACCCATAAGTAACTAATCTTACTTTATTTTAAAAAGAAACAAAGCAAGAAGGCAACAAAGTACAGTAAATTTCCACTTATCCTAAAAATCAGGAAGCAAGCTGGGCTTGTAATTTTGGTTCTTGATTGCTAACAGAGGGAGATCACCAATTTCAAAAAAACTGAAATGCCATAACCTGATAGGATCACACCGAACATGATTACAACTCCGGTAACACAAAACACCCCAGGAGCGCTTTCATGTCACGGGATCACCACGGAATCAACGCCGTGTGCAGGCAAAAAGGCTCATTTTATGAAACCCGCTGAGCTGAATCCACGCTGGTGATTTCCGAATGCTTTCCGAGAGCAGCTTTTTTCTGACATCAACCTATTTACTACTCAGCGTCTTCTTCAAAACAGGGCCAAAGCCCGTTTCCTTGCCACTTGGCCCTCCTGGCTTGCAGACAGATGCAGACCACGCGTGGGGCCGCTGCTGTCCGAGAACAAACCCCCGCGCTCCCGGCTTACCTGCCGCGCTCGTAGCTGCGGTGGCGAGACGGCGTCCTGCCCCGGTCGTAATCGGACCTGTAGCGGCTGTCTGGCCTGCGCCGATCGGGGCTGCGGCCTCGCTCGCGCCGATCCAGGGACCGATGCCTCTCGCCTCGCCCGTGGCTGTGGTCTCGGTGCCTGTGCCCGTCGTAGTGCTTGAGCCGCTCCGGGGACCTCCTCTCACTGGGGGCCTTGGGGAGTGGGTAGGGTGGGAGGTGCCGAAAGTGCGGGCCGCCGCCGGTGCCGGCGCTGGGCGGGAAGGCGCTGGGGCTGCTCTGGAAGCCGTTGAAGCTGGGCGGCGGCGGGAAGCTGTGGTGCGCGTAGCCCGGCGGGCACTGGTAGCTCACCTGCTGCGGCAGGGTCGGCGGGGGCGGGGGCTGCGGCACGGAGGGCGGCGGCACCATGAAGGGGAAGGCGCCCTGGCCCGGAGGGGCGCCGGGGACCGGCGGGGTGCTGGCGCAGGGCACGGGAGGCGGCACGGGAGGGAAACAGGGAGGCACGGGGAAGGGGTGCCTCATCTGGTGGCTGGGGAAAGGCGGCCTGATGGGGCAGGGCGGGAGAGGGCCTTGCGCTGACGGAGGCATGGGCGGAGGGAAAGGCACGAAGTCCGTCCGTGGGGGCAGAAAGCTGGGGGCCGGCGAGCTGGAGAAGGTGGTGGCAGGGGCGCTGGGCGGTTCGTACTGATACTGCGCGGGCGGCTGCTGGGGGTGGAGCAGGCGCAGATTTTGCGGCCGAAAGGTGGGCGCTGAGGGTCTGGCTCCGTGGCCTCCTCGTCCACGTGGACATCCTCGTCCCGGGTGGAATGACATTCTGTGACTTTGGTGAAGGAGAAACAGGGAGAAGTTTAGAAAGAGCAAATGAAATCTCCGCGTGTACACAGAGTTGCATAAGTGCCTGAACATCTAGAGGCAGACTGTGGTCAAGCCATGGAGTACCTTGGGTTTTCTCGAAAAGCTAGAATTCCTCATGGCCAATAAACTCTTCCTCGTCCCCTTGCTCAGCCACCCAGGCCACTGCCATGAGCCCTGGGCCTTGTTACTCTTAAAGCAGCTCCAGCCCCAGGATGGAAACTAGCATCCTATGGTTGAGCCGCCTGCTACTGGGCCGTGGCCCAACCTCACCTCCAATCTCAGCGTTATCAAGGTATGCCACCCACACACCCCACACGGCCTACATCTACACACACCTTCCTGTCTTCCCCCACCTCCCCATTCAGCACAGACTCCATGGCCCCATACCTCAATTACTTGGTTTTAATACACTATACTTCTCTGCCCCAGTCTTTTCATCCATAAGAACTCAGCCATACCCCAGTCTCAGAATTCCCAACAATTCATTTTCTACAGGCTGGCCCTAAAGTCGTACAGTAGAAAAACTGACTGGGCAGACTGGTGCCCACGCAAATTCATGGTCACCAGGTTCTGCAGAGCTGTCGTCTGCATACTTTACTCTGCTAACCGGCCACCAGAACTACAGTCAATCTTCAGCACCTTTCCTGATGTTCTGTTCTCTTCAGTCGACATGTAACCTTGTCTCCTACCAAACAGAACTACAAGAAACATGAGAAGCCAGCTTCCTTAAGTAGTTCTACCACTCCTACTGACCCATCTCATCCACTTCCAGCCTTTCCCAATTGCTTCCTCCTGACAAAGACCATGGAGCATGTGCCTGGATCCCGACCTCAAGTGTCTACCTAAGATGATGGCCCTGCCCCCACCTTTCCCCCTCCCCTCTACCAGGCCCTGCCCATCAGTGCCTGATGGTGCTCGTGTCCACTCCAACATAAAATACTTCCCCTGGCCTCCAAGTTCCCCTCCACTCAGCACCTTCTTTCTCCTCCCCTTCATGACGAACAACTTAGGAAATGTTACTCTAGACTGATGCTTATGTCTCCCCCAAAATTCGTACGTTCAACCCCTAATCCTCAATGTGAATGTTGTATGGAGGTCGGGCTTCTGGGAGGTCACTAGCGAATGAAGTTCTTAAATTGGGTTTAGTGCCCTTGTTCAAAAAAGAGGAGAGCCCTTTCTCTGCCATGTGAGGATACAGCAAGAAGGCAGTCACCTACAAGCTAAGAATAGGGCCCACATCATGGCAGAGAACCGGATCACGCTAGCTCCCAGATCCTGGGCTCCCAGCCTCTAGAACTTCAAGACAGAAGTGTGTGCTGCGTAAGCCACCCAGTCTTGGGTATTTTGTTTTGGCAGTCCAAGGTGACTGAGACAAAAAGTGCTGCTACTCCAAAGTATCCTCAGAGGATTGCTACCAGGATACTGGCCCCATACCAAAATCCACAGATGCTCAAGTCCCCTATTCAAAATGGCACAGTATTTACATAGAACTTTCTCACATCCTCCCTTAAAAACAGTCTCTAGGTTACTTACAACACTAACACAATGTAAATGCTATGTAAATAGCTCTTACACTCAATCACTTCTCAGCCTTTTGGCTAAGATCAAGTGAATAGTTGTTATACTGTATCATTAGGGAATGACACAAGAAAAAGTCTATAAATGTTCAGTATAGTATACATCCCCTCAGGCCTAACCACACCATACAGGAACCAGACCCAGTGTTTACTGGTATGCTGGAGATAAACTGAGGACCTATGAAATGGCAGGCGGCCACAGCACAGAGTGCCTAAATCAGTCACGTGGATTTAGCACAGCCCTCAGCAAGCCACAACCTCAAATTTTGCTTTTGAGATTTTTCTGGGATTTTTGTTGGTCAGGTTTTTTTTATCCAGTTGGTTGAATTCATGGATGTAGAACCCACATAGCCAGAGGACTGGCTATACACTTCCAGCTAGTTCTAATCTGGCTTCAGCTTCTGCCAGCATCCACCTTGTCTTGAAAACCAATGATGATTTTCAACCATCTTATTTGATCTCTGTGCAGCATTCAGTCCAGCTGCCCCCTCCCTTGAGGATCCTTTCCTTGGCTTCCTGATACAACACACTCACCATGACCTACCTGGACCTCTCTGGCTGTTCTCTTGGAAGTCTTCTGTGCCAGCTGACCTGCAGGGAGCCCTTGACCATTTGGTATTCCTCGGGAACACACCCTGGGCACTGTGCCCACTCTCTCTTCCAAAGTGACTCCACCCACCTGTGTTACTCCAATTATCTTATTGGTAATTTCCAAAGTGACACCTCCAGCCACCAACTTCTCAGTTCTAGACCCACACTGCAGATGGCCAACCTGACTTCTCTCCTAGAATGCCTCACTCACTCCACAATTTAATATACCATACTCTGAAGGGAATCAACGACCTTCCCTCCGTGACAATACTTGTCCCTTTCTTGGTGTTCCTATCTCAGTAAATGAAGCCATTCACTGGTCCTCAAGACACACACCAGGAAATCACCTGACAAGTTTGCCTCCCTTATCCCTTTAAGCTAAAAATTTACTTTAAAATTCCTATCATTTAGGTGTCAACTATACCATAAAAATATGCTTTTTCATTCCTATCATTTTTGCTTTGAATTCACACATTTCATACAATCATCTCTTATCCGGTTACCACAACAGTGTCCTTGCTGGCCTTTTACAACCACCCTCAGTGCCCCCAGGCCTTCGTTGCTTCCCTGCTCACAACACTATGTTGCTACAGTAATTACAACCCAGCAACTAATTATGCAATTCCACATTTAATGGCTCTCTGTACCTCAGAACTGCAAGCTGCAGCAGAGCAGGGCTCCCGGATGTCCCACTAACTGTCCTGGTCTGAGTTACTCACCCTGTCCATGATCCTCCACTGTGTTGTGCCCACTGTTAAAAGAACAAGCATGTTTCTCCCTCTCCCCAAGTATCTAAATCCTTCCCACATCCTATGGCCGGCACTGGCCCCTCTCCCTGTCCTCCCAAAATACTGCCATACCTATCACACCACTCACCACGTACTGCCTTGCATCATGACGTACTGTCCAGACACATCACATCTTCCACAGGAACTATACGCTCTACAGGACAAAAAATAAAATATACACACTCATGATTCCCAAGCTGCAAATGATACAAAATACTCCTGCAATTATCTTACCACTAATTTTGCATTCTCAGATGCACTTAGCCTGCTAACCAAATTAAGATCCTGCTAAACTGCAAGAAAGTTTCTATTTTTTTTTTTTTTTTTTTTTTTGGACAGGCAGAGTGGACAGTGAGAGAGAGAGACAGAGAGAAAGGTCTTCCTTTGCCGTTGGTACACCCTCCAATGGCTGTCGCGGCTGGCGTGCTGCAGCCGGCGTACCGCGCTGATCCGATGGCAGGAGCCAGGTGCTTCTCCTGGTCTCCCATGGGGTGCAGGGCCCAAGCACTTGGGCCATCCTCCACTGCACTCCCGGGCCACAGCAGAGAGCTGGACTGGAAGAGGGGCAACCGGGACAGAATCCGGTGCCCTGAGTGGGACTAGAACCCGGTGTGCCGGAGCCACAGGCGGAGGATTAGCCTATTGAGCCATGGTGCCAGCCCCGACTAAATTTTGTGATGTCCTTACTTATCTTGCTGACTTACAATTGTTAGTAGCTGAGAAGATTGAAAAGGTAGGCATAGCCCGCTCTACCCAGTTAAAAAACTAGGATAAATATAACAATTCCCCACCTATCTTTCATACTGTTTTCTTCATCATAAACTAAGGTAGGAATAGATCAAAACCAAAAAATTGGGGCCGGCACTGTGGCATAGCAGGTGAAGCTGTGCCTATAGTTCTGGCATCCCATATGGGCACCAGATCGAGTCCCAGCTGCTCCACTTCTGATCCAGCTCTATGCTATGGCCTGGGAAAGCAGTAGAAGATGGCGCAAGTGTTTGGGCCCTTGCACCCACATGGGAGACCCAGAAGAAGCTCCTGGCTCCTGGCTTCAGATTGGTGCAGGTCCAGCTATTGCAGCCAATTGGGGAGTGAACCAGCAGTTGGAAGACCTCTCTCTCTCTCTGCCTCTCCTTCTCTCTCTAACTCTTTCAATTAAATAAAAAAATCTTTAAAAAAAATCAGTGAGATCTGCATTTAAATTCAAATATAATCTCCTTCTTAAAAAAAAAAAAAGGTTCATTTATTTTCTTGAAAGTTAGAGTTGCACAGAGAAAGAAGGAGAGGCAGAAACAGAGACAGAGAGAGGTCTTCCATTTGCTGGTTCACTCCCCAAATGGCCACAATGGCAAGAGCAGTGCCGATCCAAAGCCAAGAGTCAGAAGCTACCTCCAGGTCTCCCACACATATGCAGGGGCCCAAGGACTTGGCCGTCTTCTACTGCTTCCCCAGGCCATAGCAGAGAGCTGGATTGGAAGTGGAGTAGCCGGGACTCAAACTGGCACCCACATGGGATGCCAGCACTGCAGAAGGCAGCTTTACCTACTATGCCACAGCACTGGCCCCCAAATATAATTTGCTTAACACAACAGCTATGACTGATTTTCATTCTCAGTTCTTCAAATAGAACATTGGGAATATGAATGACTTGCCAAATACTTGAACGTCAGCAAAAAAAAATTTTTTTTGACAGGCAGAGTTAGACAGTGAGAGAGAAACAGAGAGAAAGGTCTTCCTTTTTCTGTTGGTTCACCCCCCAAGTGGCCACTACAGCCGGCGCATTGCGGCCGGCCCGCTGCACTGATCCGAAGCCAGGAGCCAGATGCTTCCTCCTGGTCTCCCTTGCAGGTGCAGGACCCAAGGACTTGGGCCTTCCTCCACTGCACTCCTGGGCCATAGCAGAGAGCTGGACTGGAAGAGGAGCAATCGGGACAGAATCCGGCGCCCCAGCTGGGACTAGAACCCGGGGTGCCGGCGCCACAGGCGGAGGATTAGCCTATTGAGCCACAGCACCAGCCAGCAAAATGTTTTTTAAAAAAGGACGCTCATACATTTAAGCTTCCTTTTATATATATACATACATATATAAAAGTAAAAAGCTTTTATATATATATAAATAAAATGCAGAAAGCTTTAACATAGGAACATCTCTCTAAAGCCTTACTAATTAAAAGTTTATCAATAAACTTAGGACAGACTTTCAAATGGCTCATAAAAATAATTACAGATTACTGAGTTGTGCTTATTATTAAGTTGTGCTTAATATCTGATATCAAATAACACTTGATTAATGAGATATCCAGTCCAATGCCCTCAAGATGAACGTGAGACCCTGCCACAACAAGCTATTGCTCCATGCAAGGCAATGGAGGCCCTGCAGAATCTGGACCCAATGTCTCCTTCCAGGGTTATCACTCACTCCCTTTCCGGCACAAAGCCCTTACTTTCCCAGATTTTCCCAGCTGATTAACATACCAAGTACTATTGCTCTCGTTCTTCTTCAATCTCCTAGCCTGTGAATTTGCCCAGTACCTTCCTATGCATCCACCAATCTCAAACGCCACCTACTCCATGAAGGCCTTTCTGATTCCTTTTATTTTTTTATTTTATTTATTTATTTATTTATTGACAGGCAGAATGGACAGTGAGAGAGAGAGACAGAGAGAAAGGCCTTCCTTTGCCGTTGGTTCACCCTTCAATGGCCGCAGCGTGCTGATCCGATGGCAGGAGCCAGGAGCCAGGTGCTTTTCCTGGTCTCCCATGGGGTGCAGGGCCCAAGCACCTGGGCCATCCTCCACTGTACTCCCTGGCCACAGCAGAGAGCTGGCCTGGAAGGGGGGCAACCGGGACAGAATCCGGCGCCCCGACCGGGACAAGAACCCAGTGTGCCGGCGCCGCAAGGCGGAGGATTAGTCTAGTGAGCCGCGGCGCCGGCTCTGATTCCTTTTAGAAAGCAATCACATTCCCTCCCAACTTCAGCTGCTCTTAGTCTGTACCTAGTTCTTTACCTCTGCGGCTCTTACCTGAGTCTGCCACATAGTATAGTCCTGTGTGCACATGTCTAACTCCTGCACCAGATGGTTAGCTCTCGGCTGACAGGGCTTGATTCAGTCATTTCTGTGTCTTTCACAGCCCTTGGCAGAGCATCCTGCAAACGGCAAGTAGTCAGTAAATGCTGTGGTCTCACCAACGAACGGCACATGCTTCTCTATTGCACATCTCACTTCAACAGATATCCGCAACAGCTTTGCATTACCACAGCCAATGATTCCTGCATCGTTTAATGAGTCTACACATGGGAAGCACTGTTCCAGGCCCCAGGGGCTCAAAGATGAGGAGGACACACAGAGTACAGGACTCAAAGAAATCAGAGCACACTTACAATTTCTTTTATTTAAAAAAATGTGATAAACACAAGAGTTACCTACTGAGTAATCAGAGGAACACAAGGGGGTGTGCTGAACTACAAGTGGGCAAGAATCAGGGTCATGTACGACTGCACCAGTTGAACATTCACTATCAGATCCTCATGGATGTACCCGTAGTTAGAAAACCCAAACAAACTGATCACGAAATTCATCTATCAAAGGCATCCGCGGGCTGTGTCCCGGATGTAAACACTAATTTGAAAGTCAAGACATTCTCTGCAACTCCAAAATGCTTTTCTGCCCGTCTGCTCCTAGGCGGCCGCCGGGCAGCAGCGAAACGCAAAGAACTGTTTTGAGCAGTTCGGGTCAATCGCTGCAAAGTGTGACCCCATTTTTACCGAGAACGCCCTCTTTCTCCCAGGTGAACTCGCAGGCCGGGCATCTTCACCGGCTGATTCGTAACTGCGTGCTCACCTGTTTGCATCTCCCGCCAGACCGGGAGCCCCAAGAGGCGGGCGCTGGGCACACCGTCCGCGACTCGCGCGGCCCCAGGCCTGGACCGCGGCGTGCACGCCACAAATGAATGAAAGGCCTCCTTTCTCACTTCTCTTTATCCGCCGGATCCGGGCCTAGGGTCGCTCTTTTTGCCCTCGGCTGGAGATCTAAAGACAGAGGCTGCGGGACAACAACTCCCAGGCGCCCCGCGCCTTAGCTCTGGACTCCAGCCACGTTTCAATCCGGCCTCTCGGAACCACTCCCTCTTCCAACACCCACAAGGTGTCCCTTTTACCTACGAAGTGTTCTCAGGTCCCGAGATCGCCGCCAGAGCAAAGACAGGTTAACACTGCAGCCGCCAAGACAGTGGCGCCGCCCGCGCCTCCGGAACAGGAAACCGAGGGAATTAAAAACCAAGCCTGAGAAAGCCGGACCGAGGGAGGGAAAACCCCGTCGGCTCGCCGCAGCCCTTGTGTGCGCTGATTGGCGCGTCGACGAGAACGATCGAACTGTAGACCAATCGGCTACGTCGATCCCTCCGGAGCCCACCCCCATCCTCTACATCCTCCTATCCGAAAGCGCAACCGGGTGAGCGCGCGTTTCCGCCCGGAGAGGGCGGTGGTGGCGCGGCTCGGGCTCTCGTGGGTACTCACGGGGTTCCTGGGACTCGGGACTCCTTGGGGCACGAAAATATGACTGCCTGCGACGGAGAGCGCGCTCGCCTCCGCCGCTACGCGGAGCTACCTGTGTGGGTGGTGGAGGAGCATCAGGAGGTGAGCGGGCTGCTGTGGGGCTGTGAGGAGCTGAGGCTCACGGGCCCGGGAGACGCTGCAGCCGTAGAGTCGGAGGCCACAGAAATAACCACGGTCTATCTGCCCCAATTCCGTTGTTGTGAGGAAAAACTCCGAAATGGCTCTCTTGAAAGAGTAGAAGCGTTTATGGGGCGTTTACCCCGATTTGCTCCAAATCCCACAGCTAGCAACTAGTGAGGTGGGGATTCGAACCCGAACAGGCGGACTGCAGAGCCCCGATCCCGTTAACGTGCAGTTAACGCAGGTTTCTGATCGTCTCCTGGCATCTCCGCCACTGCCTTGCTGTGGACCAGGGACGCTTTATGCTGAGGATGTGGGCTCCAGCCTGTGAGGTGGGGACAGCCATCAGGGCTTTCAGGGGTATTGTTGGGTAAGTAGGTACTGAAGCACGGTGCTCCTGATTTATCAGCGCTAAAAGCTGTTCCCATTTTTACGACTGCGCTGCTGTAAGTTGGTGATTTACTCTAGACTTCGAAGACATTTGTTGAGAAGTAGTATCTATAGGCCGTGGAGGTTGTCTGGATAGAAGAGGAAGAGGGATTTGCTGAGGGAGAAAGTTAAGAGAACAAAAAAGTTGGGTTTCTCAGAACCTGGACCTGAGAGAAAGAGAAAGTGTAGGTGAGATGATGCTTTCAGACTCGGTGTTACGCCTGGGACTGTGGAAGGTGTAAGAGGAGAAAGAGCCTTCCAGATCACCTAGGCCAGCCCTGCTACTTTAAAGATACCAAGAAGACCTGGGGGCCTCCTGTTCTGTACACAGTTAAGGCTAGAATGGGCATTCACCAGCAGTTGGTTCCTGAACCCTAGTCGCCCTTTCCCGCATTACGCCTTGCCCTTGAGATAGGGTCAGGAATGCATCCAGAGGTGCCAGGTGCGGGCGGGAAGTTCTGAGGGAAAAAATCGAGCTTGAATCATCATCTGAACCCTCCTGCAGTAAGCGCGTTTTGTATGTTTCCCACTTTTTAACAACTCCGTATGCCTCAAATGTGTGCCACTGTGTTTAGCAATGTGTTTCACTTTGCACTTGAGTGTATATGCTCATGATTTCAGTGTCAATTCTGAGTGTGTGTTTACGTCTTTTACAGGTTCTGCCTTTTATATACCGGGCCATAGGCTCAAAGCATCTTCCTGCCAAGGATATAAGTTTTTTACATTTTGACTCCCATCCAGACCTTCTCATTCCTGTGAATATGCCAGCAGACACAGTGTTTGATAAGGAAACACTCTTTGAGTAATACTTTGATTTTACTAATGATCTTTTATGTGTTTGAAATACAGTTTTTAGTAGATGATAAGCAATTGAGGGGAATAGACTTTGCTATTTTGTTTACTTTTTTCCTTTTTTATTTTATTTAGAATAATGTATTGATTAACTTTTAAAGAAATTCTTTATTTACATTTTCATTGAAAGACATTCTATCCACTGCTTCACCCCATAAATGCCCACAACAGCTGGGGATGGGCCAGGACAAAGTCAGAAGCTGAAAACTCTCCACGTAAATGACAGGAGCCCAAGTTCTTAAGCCATCATTGCTGTCTCCCAGGGTGCACATCAGCAGGAAGCTGGAATCCAGAACAGAGCCCGTTCTCAAACCCGGGCACTGTGATATAGGATGTAGGCATCTCAAGTAGTATCTCAACCACTATATCAAATACCTATGCTGACAAACACTTTCCTTAAAGAAACAGAAGATATTTTATGTGTGCTGGCCCTGTGGTTATATATTAGAACTATTTAACTCTGCCCTTGTAATATGAAAGCAATCATAGATACTGTAAACAAATGACAGTAGCCATGTTACAATAAAACTTTATTTACAAAAATAGCCCAGCTAACATTTACTAATCTCTTGTTTCAAGTAGAACACAGTAGGAAAACCTTTTTGAACATGTGTTAGGGCATAGCAAGCTAAGCATCCAACACCAGCACCCCATATGAGTGCCGGTTAAAGTCCCAGCATCTCCACTTCTGATCCAGCTCCCTGCTAATGCACCTGGGAGAGCAGCAGAAGATGGCCCATGTTCTTGACACCCATGTGGGAGACCCAGATAGAGTTTCAGTCTCCTGGCTTGGACCTGGGCATTGCTGCCATTTGGGGTGTTAGCCAGCAGATGGAAGATCGCTCTGTCTTTTCTATATCTCTGCAACTCTGCCTGAAAAGATCTGAGGAGCCTCCTAAGAAACTGCTCTTTGAGACCTGTTATCTTAAAATATGGTGTGGATGAAATAATATTTGGGAGAAAAATAACACTCACTAATAGTTTTAATGTTTCTCTCTATTTCTTTCCTAGAGAACTAAGTATTGAAAACTGGATTATGCCTGCAGTTTATGCTGGCCATTTTTCCCACGTTGTATGGCTTCATCCCACATGGGCTCAGCAAATGAGAGAAGGAAAACACCACTTTTTAGTGGGCAAAGACACTTCTACTACAACAATCAGGTAATATCCTCAAATTTTTCTGTGTGAAAGGGGTGAATGCTTCTATCTTATTTTGGATCCTTTTATCTCTAAACACAAATGAGAACTGATTAAACCTCAACTACTGGGCCGGCGCCGCGGCTCACTAGGCTAATCCTCCGCCTTGCGGCGCCGGCACACCGGGTTCTAGTCCCGGTTGGGGTGCCGGATTCTGTCCCGGTTGCCCCTCTTCCAGGCCAGCTCTCTGCTTTGGCCAGGGAGTGCAGTGGAGGATGGCCCAGGTGCTTGGGCCCTGCACCCCATGGGAGACCAGGAAAAGCACCTAGCTCCTGGCTCCTGCCTTCGGATCAGCGCAGTGCGCCGGCTGCAGCGCGCCAGCTGCGGCGGCCATTGGAGGGTGAACCAACGGCAAAGGAAGACCTTTCTCTCTGTCTCTCTCTCTCACTGTCCACTCTGCCTGTCAAAAAAAAAAAAAAAAAAAAAAAAAAACTCCTCCAAAAAGAGTTCTCAGAACACCAAGAATAGTTTTAAGTCTCCTGACCTCTTTCATGCTGCATTTTATTTTGTTGCTGGTCAGATCGCCTTTTGAATTTTAGGACCTTCATGCTCTGGAATTTGGGCTTTATTGATGATCAGCTGCATTGAATCACTGAAGTTCGTTACAGATTTATATATCTACTGTTATATTTTACTGTTTCCTTCCAATGTAACTATTGTCTGTTGAATCTGACATTTAAAGATTTATATATCTGAGAGGCAGAGTTACTGAGAGACAGAGAGAAAGGTCTTCCATCCACTGGTTCATTCCCAAAATGACCACAACAGCTAGAGCTGGACCAATCTGAATTCAGGAGCCATGAGCGTCCAGGTATCCCACACAGGTGCTGCTTTCCCAGACACATTAGCAGGGTACTGAACCAGAATTGGAGCAGCTGGAACTCAAACACACTCCAACATGGGATGTCAGCATTGCAAGCCACTGCTTAACCTTCTCCACCATAATGCCGGCCATTATTTTGGTTTGGGTTTTTTATGTTTTTTTTGTTTGTTTGTTTGTGTTTTTATTTAAGATTTATTTATTCGTTTGAAAATCAGAGTCACTCAGAGAAGGAGAGGCAGAGAGAGAGAGAGAGAGAGAGAGAGGTCTTCCATCCACTGGTTCACTCCCCAGTTGGCTGCAACGGCCAGAGCTGCACCGTTCTGAAGCCAGGAGCCAAGAGCTTCCTCTGGGTCTTCCCACGTGGGTGTAAGGGCCCAAGGACTTGGGCCATCTTCTACTGCTTTCCCAGGCCATAGCAGAGAGCTAGATTGGAAGTAGAGCAGCTGGGATTCAAACCTGTGCCCATGTGGGATACCAGTGCTGTAGTTGGCAGCTTTAGCTGCTATGCCACAGCACAGGCCCCTGTTTGTTTTAGTAAGTCTTATTTGTTTTAATAAGTTTAATGGCTGAATGAGTTATTTAATGGTTGAATGAGTTATATGAGTTTTAATATTATTGATTTGATTAGTTTTAGGTGATTAGTGTGAATTAAATTGCAGTATCATCTGACTTGAGTTATATGCACAGCTATTTTTGTTGTGTAAGACATTTAACCAGTGTTCTCTGTGCTTTTTAGGATACTTTATTACCTTTAGAAAGAGTATATTCTTGACTTTCTAAATTCTTTTTGTGATGGTATAAATATTTTAAATCATGTGACTATAGCTTTCTAGAACCTGAAGGATAGTGGGATGAAATGGTAATGCATTAAAAATGAAAATGGCCTGGGAAAAGAGGCAGAAGATAGCCCAAGTGTTTAGGCCCCTGCCGCCATCACCCACATGGGAGACCCAGATAAAGCTCCTGGCTCCTGACTCCGCCCTAACCGGTGTGGCCATCTGAGGAATAAACCTGCAGATAAAAGATTCTCTCCTTCTCTCTCTTTCTGTCCGTCTCTCTGTAACTGTAACTTTCAAATACGTAAATAAATCTCTTTAAAAGTGAAAAAAAACGGGCCAGCGCTGTGGCACTGGCAGCACCAGCATCCCACATGGGCACCAGTTCAAGTCCTGGCTGCTCTACTTCCTATCCAGCTCTCTGCGATGGCCTGGGAAAGCAGTAGAAGATGGCCCAGCTCCTTGGACCCCTGCACCCACTTGGGAGACCTGTAAGAAGCCCCTGGCTCCTGGCTTTGGATCAGCTCAGCTCTGCGGTTGTAGTCATTTGGGGAGTAAACCAGCGGAATGAAAGACCTCTCTCTCTGGCACTACCATTTTCTGTAACTGTCTTTTAAATAAAATAAAATAATTCATTAAAAAGTGGAAAAAAATCTTGAAAATTAAACTGTTTACTTCTAATCTGTCCATATGACATAATTAACTTATAGAACAAGTGGGGTTTTTTTTTTTTGTTTTTTTTTGTTTTTTTTTGACAGGCAGAGTTAGACAGTGAGAGAGAGACATTTGGTTCACCCCCCAAATGGCTGCTATGGCCAGCGCGCTGCGCCGATCCGAAGCCAGGAGCCAGGTGCTTCCTCGTGGTCTCTCATGTGGGTGCAGGGCCCAAGCACTTGGGCCATCCTCCACTGCCTTCCCAGGCTGGAAGAAGAGCAACCAGGACAGAACCGGCACCCCAACCGGGACTAGAACCTGGAGTACCAGCGCCGCAGGCAGAAGATTAGCCTAGTGAGCTGCGGCACCAACCTTCATTTATTTTTGTTGTGATGTATTTATTTAGGATAAATTAAAAACATATAATAAATATTGTACATAATACTGCAAAAGTGGTTTTTATCAATACTTCAGTCAGTAGACTTCAATTAACCTGCAAAATCAAATAATTTTTTGCAGTCTGACACAGACATCTAAAATAGTACTTGGAAGTTTTTTTTTTTTTTTTGACAGGCAGAGTGGACAGTGAGAGAGAGAGAGAGACAGAGAGAAAGGTCTTCCTTTTGCTGTTGGTTCACCTTCCAATGGCCACCGCAGCCGGCGCGCTGCGGCCGGCGCACCGTGCTGATCCGATGGCAGGAGCCAGGTACTTCTCCTGGTCTCCCATGGGGTACAGGGCCCAAGCACTTGGGCCATCCTCCACTGCACTCCCGGGCCACAGCAGAGAGCTGGCCTGGAAGAGGGGCAACCGGGACAGAATCCGGCGCCCCGACCAGGACTAGAACCCGGTGTGCCGGCGCCGCTAGGCGGAGGATTAGCCTAGTGAGCCGCGGCACCGGCCGGAAGATTTTTATTATCTCATGATTTTAGTAAATCCTGCAATAAAAATTCGTGGAACAGATGCATAGAGGTATGCAGTCAGATTGTGTAGTTTTGTATAGGAAAAAAAAAAAACAAAGTAAAATTTCCATTATTAAAAAGAATGGAAACTTAGATTGGGGTAAATAGACTTTGTCTTTATTAGAATGGTACAGTTTTTAATGATTTTTTTAAAGATTTTACTTATTTATTTTAAATAATTACAGAGAGAGGGAAGAGAGAAAGAGAGGTCTTCCATCTGTTGTTTTACTCCCCAAATGCCTGCAGTGGCCAGGACTAGGCCAGGCTGAGGCCAGGAGCCAGGAGTTTCATCCAGGTTTCCCATGTGGGTAGAGGGGTCCAAGCACTTGGGCCATCCTCTGCTGCTTTCTAGCAGGGAGTTGGATTGGAAATGGAGTAGCCAGGACTCGAACTGGCACCCATATGGGATACTGACCTGCAAACAGAAGTGCTGGCCCCCAGTTTTTAATAATCTTATTCAGGAGTGGGTATTGTGGTACAGTGAGTTAAGCTATCACTTGTGACTCCTGCATCCTTTATTAGGGTGCTAGTTTGAGCCCCAGCTACCACACTTCTGATGCAGCTTCTTGCTAGTGCATCCTGGGAGGTAATGGATATTGGCTCAAGTACATGGGACTCTGCCAACTGCGTGGGAAACCTAAGTGGAATTCCGAGCTTCTAGGATGCCAGTGTTGCAAACGGCAACTTAACCCACTGTACCACAATGCCAGTTGCTTGCTAATGTTGAAGTTCAGTGCACACAAGCCTATGTGGTAACTCTACAATGTAGGAAGCTCTAGTTCCTTAAGTCTTTTTTTGTCCACCATCTCTAGGTGGTCCTCTTAGTCAGCCTTGTCATTTCCATATTCATGTCCCAGTCAGCAGGGAAGGGCAGCAGAGCAAGGCTTTGCATTCTTTTCTGCCTTTACAACGATTAGCCAGAACTTACTCAGGTGGCCACGTGTTGCTGCAAGGTAGACTGACATGCAGTCTTTACTTGGGACAGTAAAGAATCTGAGGAATTCTTTGCCCAGCTAAGAATTTGAGGAATACTATTTCTGCAAAACAGGAAATACAAGTATTAAAGACAGTCTCAGTTTTTGTTATACATGTCCTTAAATTTTTATAGTGGCGTAGTGAAATGTCAGTTAATTTGTCCATTCTTTAAAATAGTTTTTTCCTCTGAACCAGGGTTACAAGTACTGATCATTACTTCCTCAGTGATGGCCTCTATGTACCTGAAGACCAGCTAGAGAACCAGAAGCCTTTAAGACTGGATGTAATCATGATGAAACCTAATAAACTCTGTAGCAAACAAGAAGAAAATGCTGCAGTGTGTTCTGCCAAGAAGCCAAAACTGGCACTGGAAGGTGCAGAAAACACTGCCTCTGGTACTTGCGACTCTTCTGCAGATGGACTGGGAAAGGACCCAGGGACACAGAGAAGCTGCCAGTCTTGCCTGGAGCTGTCATGTGTGTGTTCTGAAAGTCAGGCCTGCCAGAGTACCGTCAGCACTGGGGAAGTTCTGGAAATTTTGGAGAAAGGAGATGGATTTGTTTTAGATATTGACTTAGATTTTTTTTCCGTTAAGAATCCCTTCAAAGAAATGTTCACTCAGGTATATACATTTTTAAAATAATAGATCTTGAGAATTGCATGACATTTTTCTAGCTTAGGGATCAGCAAAGTTTCTTCAAGGGCCATAAAGTAATTATTTAATACATGATGGCTACATTCTCTGCAACATATGTTCTTTTTTTTATGTTTTTTAGCCTTTTAAAATTATGTATACTGGCCGGCACCGCGGCCCACTAGGCTAATCCTCCACCTGTGGCACTGGCACTCCGGGTTCTAGTCCCGGTTGGGGCGCCGGTTCTGTCCTGGTTGCTCCTTTTCCAGTCCAGCTCTCTGCTGTGGCCCGGGAAGGCAGTGGAGGATGGCCCAAGTGCTTGGGCCCTGCACCCGCCACCTGGCTCCTGGCTTCGGATCGGCGCAGTGTACCAGCCGTTGTGGCCATTGGGGGGGTGAACCAATTGAAGGAAGACCTTTCTCTCTGTCTTTCTCACTGTCTAACTCTGCCTGTCCAAAAAAAAAAAAAAAAAAAAAAAAAGGATGTATACCATTCTTACCTTGAGTGCCATACAAAAGCAGGCCATTGGCCCTGGGTTGCTGACCCCTGCTATCCATAGTCTTCATTATTTTAGACTTCTTAATGGGGTTATTATTTACATAGGTAGTTTAAAAAAATGGGATTAAGTAGTACAAGAAAGTATATACACTGAAAAAAATCACATACTTACCCTGTCCATTCCTTCAGATTCTTACTTCAGAAACAAATACTCTGGCTAGTTTATTGTATATCCTTCTAGAGATATTCTATGTATCTAAAATTCTCTATGACACATTTTTCCTTAAAACAATGAAGTCCCTGATTTCACATGTCACTGTATGTAGTTAATGATGCAGGGTTGTGATCCTTAAGCTAAGTACTTCACCTGATCTTAAGTATAAATTACTACACAATATTATTATGTGTATATCTGATGTAGGACTGTGCATTTAACAAATTTTATTTGATAAATTCATGATCCGAATGAGCATTCCTAGGTGCATTTTTTAAAATATTTTTTAATTTATTTATTTGAGAGGTAGAGTCAGAAAGTTCTTCCATCCACTGGTTCCCTCCCCCAGATGGCACAACAATCGATCCAAAGCCATGAGCCAGCCAGGAGCTTCTTCCAGGTCTCCCACATTGGTGCAGGGGCCATCTTCTACTGCTTTTCCAGACCATAGCAGAGGGCTGGATTGGAAGAAAAGCAGCCAGGACAAGAACCAGTGCCCGTATGGGATGACAGCACCACAGGCGGAGGCTTAGCCTACTGTGCCACAGCACCTGCCCTCCTAGGTGCATTTTAGACACACACATAACAGCTTACTTTAATAACATGAGAGAAGTTCTTCCAAATCTTTTCTTTCTGGTATTCAAATTGACTGTGTTCATTATTAGATTCATTATGATGGTTACGATGACGTTGTACTTTATGATCCTAATTCTATGGATATATATCAAAAGCAAAAAATTCTACTAGGTACTAATTTAGAAGAGGTAAGAGGTAGGGATTTAGTGTAATTTGCAGCAGGAATCTGGGACCTAAAGAGACTTTAGTTGTTATCAGGAAACCTAGGAATGCAGAGGTTTTTGCATCCTTTATACCTCTTGGTACTATGAAACTTCCTGAAAAGAACATTATACTTTGTAAGAGTTTTATACTTTATAATTCAAAACTATTATTTTTTAATATAAGGAAAGATAGTTTGCCCTTTTTTTAGAGCATGCTTATAAGTTAGTTAGGTTCTCTTTGCTACTTCTGCTTACTAACTGTATGATCTTGGGATCTTGAGAAAGCTACTTAACCTTTCTGATGTGCAATTTCTTCAAGTATGAGATTAGAATAATAATCATACCCAATTTAGGATTGTTATAATCTGTGCTTAATAAATTTTAGCTATTGGGGGCCGGCCTTGTGGCATAATGAGTTAAGCTGCTGCATACAACACCAGCATCCCATATGGGCACAGGTTCAAATCCAGGCTGCTCCACTTCTAATCCAGCTCCCTGTTAGTGCTCCTGGGAAAACAGTAGAAGATGGCCCAAGTGCTCTGGTCCTTGCACTCACATGGGAGACCCGGATGAATGAAGCCCCTGGCTCCTGTTTTTGGACTGGCCCAGTTCCAGCCGTTGTAGCCATTTGTGGAGTGAGCCAGCAGATAGACAGTTGATCTCTCTTCCAGTCTGTCAGTCTCTCTCCCCTTTCCCTTTACTCCCCCTCTGCAGCTTTCAAATAAATAAAATAAACCTTTAAAAATAAATAAATACATTTTAACTCTTGGATAGAACCTCTTCCTCACAATACTCCAAAACGAGATTATTGGGAGTGGATTGAACCCACATATGTAATGGAGCTATGTGGTAGTGCTGAACAAGGCAGGACTTTCTGCGAAGCCTGCGTAAGCAGGAATCTTTTCTTCCATTACGTGGAGCCTCTAACTGAGGTCATAAGTCTCAGCCACTTTGCCTCCACTATTGCCTTTGTACTCCAGGTTCTCTTTTGATGTTAAAAAAAAAATGACTGCAAAATGAACATGGAGATTTGTTTAGTTTTCATTATAAAATATACATATATTTCCTAAAAACAGCTAGAATCTGTTTAGGTCCTAGGATATAGCCATTTATAAAGTGGGATATTATTGGAAATATTTTCACATCATGACCAGCTACCTACCTAGTTGTCTTCAACAGCTGATTTTTATACATTATTGTCTTTCCCAGCTGGATGGTGTTTCCCTGAAGAAATTATATTTACAGTGGAAATCTAAAATATATATTGATTCTCCCAGGCAAATCTTTAAATAATAATCCAAGATATTCTTTATCACAGGCAAGGCTATCTTTCACTTTAAGCATATTATTTTTAAAAATTTAGCTTTTTTCTTGATATATAGATTTGTTTTCTTTTCTAGGAAGAATACAAAATCTTACAAGAGCTATACAATTTTAAAAGGCCTGGTGCCAACCTGTCAGAGGTATTTCCATTTATTTCTTTGAGTTTTATGCAAAGTAAATCATTATCTGCTAATATATTACAGCTTATTAGAGTTATTTCAAAGGACTGTCCAAAGTGTATGTGTGTGTGTTTGGTGTGTTTTTGTGTCGCTGTGTTTATCAGTGAAGCCCAGAGTTAATACCTGACAATCATGTTTTAGTGTGATATTGCTTGGTTGTTTTTGAAAGAATACCTATATAATCTTAGCTTTCATCTGTGTACAGGAAGATTTGGTAGATATTGTTGATACTCGAATTCACCAATTAGAAGACTTAGAGGCTACTTTTGCTGATTTGTGTGATGGTGATAATGAAGAAACAGTACAAAGATGGGCTTCAAATCCTGGGTAAGACCCTTGCATGTTTTCCCCCAACTTTATTAGCTTTCAGTACTAAGTATACTCCTAAATTTGCTATAAAAATTGCTTTGTTAAAATTGGTGTTAAATTTCAAATGGATTTACTATCAATAGTTAGCATTTATTTTTTCCTCTGTGCCCTCTGTCTATAAAATTTTTCCTTACATTATCTCATTTATTCCTCAACAACAACCTTATGGTTTTATTATTTTATGTACATTTAGTAGATGTGAAGGAAAAAGCACAGAGATTAAGTATGTCACTCATAATAAGTAGTCATGCTTTCAGTTGTCATTCAATAGCTACCCCTAAATATAAAATAATAAGCTAGTCTTTCAAAGGATTAAAGATGAATATATAGATAGTCCCTGGTATATAAAAAGTAAGAAAAAATTTTCAAAAGAAAAGTAATTGCCTTGACAAATAAATTATAATATGGAAATTAATCTCCTTTTAAGAATAATGCAACTACTGATAGAAGAGCTTATTTTCAAAGCATTCATGACATGAGGAAACAGTATTTGGATGCTCAGTTCTTCATCAGGTCAATTACTTGACCGATTCTTTCATTGTTAACATAGCATGAAAGTAGAAAGAGAAAATTTCTTTTAGAGTGAAAACCATTGGTATTAAAGCTGGCATGAAAGAATATATTAATGTTAATATTGTAGTTAGTTTTCTTTAAAATAATTCTATAGATTATGTAAACTCAGAAGGCCAGAAAACTAAAATAAAATAGTCAAACTCTTTGTCTCCTTGAACATAGAAAGACCACAACTAGTTTGTTTGTTTGTTTGTTTGCTTTTTGACAGGCAGAGTTAGACAGTGAGAGAGAGAGAGACAGAGAGACAGAGAGAAAGGTCTTCCTTCCGTTGCCTCACCCCTGAAATGGCCGCTTGGGCCGGCACGCTGCGCTCATCCAAAGCCAGGAGCCAGGTGCTTCCTCCTGGTCTCCCATGCAGGTGCAGGGCCCAAGGACTTGGGCCATCCTCCACTGCCTTCCCAGACCACAGCAGAGAGCTGGACTGGAAGAGGAGCAACCGAGATAGAATCCGGTGCCCCAACCAGGACTAGAACCCGGGGTGCCAGCACTGCATGCGGAGGATTAGCCAAGTGAGCCACGGCACCAGCCCACAACTATTTTAAAATTGATCTCCCACAAACCTAACTAATGATTCTCTACAGTGTAAACAGAAGGAAGAAATCAGCTGTAAGACAACAATAAAAAATATGAAGTTAAAATCACAATACTTTAGACAAAAATTAATGGCCACTAAAATTTTTCATGTTAGTTATTGAAAACAATTCATCAGGTCTCCAGTAGATTACAGAGAAAACTGGAACAGCCTTTGGAGAGGAATCATGTGGCTAAAAGGTAAAGTGTATGAGTGAGAAATACCTTCTTTTGCTATGTGCATATTATCACCTTTTCAAAATATGCTTTGTAATTTCGGCTCAAAAATTTCAGAAACATCTGTGGTTTTTAAATATCATAAACTTTATTATCACCATGGAAAACAGTGGTATGGAAGAATGACTGATAATAATTTGTTCACATTAGTGAATGTTGGCCAGGTACAGTTCATAATCTTTCTTTTTGGTGTAGGGAGCTAGTTCTAAAAATGATACCCTCTTTTTTGAAATTATGATGGAAGAAGGAGATACAAGTCACAGGACATGAATGTTCCTAGAAATATTAAAAAGAATCCACCATTTCAAGATTTCATGAAGCCTTAAGCCAAGTTTTAAATGTAATAACAACAGAATAGGCCTGGAAACCTTACAGTCCTGAATGTAGCCCGGAGACAGGGCCACCTTGCACTGTAACCTAGATGCCTGTTGAACATACCCAGTTATCTCATCATCTCCTGCAGGTAGTTCCACCACAAACAGGAAGATATGTTAAGACTGCAACAGTGGTGAGTTTATATTGTCTCTGAAATTGGAAGGAGAAAGAGCAACACAAAGGAAAATTAAGTGAGACAGTAAGAAAAGTCCCCTCCAATCAGCTATCACTCTGGGGGTGGGAGTGTTCACTGTGCCTAAGGAAGTGAAGTGGTGGTTAAGGTTCAGAAGCCCAAGGAAGGAATAATAGGGCAACTAGACAGGCAGGCCTTTGTGTCTTCTTGGTTCCCCCCCCCCCCAACAAATTAGTGGATATTGGTGGAGAAGGCATTAAAATACCACGAACATTAGTCAGTTTATCAGAGATTCCAAAGACTTCTACCTAAATTAAGTAACTTGAAAGTACCACTATTACTGTATTAGATAGAATGGAATTTTTCTGATTATAATTATATATTGATATACATTGCTCTCATTTATCTTTAACTTTTGAGAAATAGTGTTTTTCATCACAGTATGCTAAAGGCACTTGATTTTCCTGCTGACCAAAATAGTTTTTAAGTGCAGGCCTTCTGACACAGCAGGTTAAGCTGCCACCTACATGCCGGCATCCCGTATCAGAAGACAAATTCAAATTCCTGACTACTAGGATTCCAATACAGCTCTGTGCTGACGTGCCTGGGAAGGCAGCAGATGATGGCCCACGTATCTGGGGTCCCTAAACCCATGCGGGAGACCCAAGTGGAGCTGTCCAGGCTCCAAGCTTTGGCCTGGCCTGGCGCAGCACTTGTTGTTGGCAGCTATCTGGGGAATGAATCAGAGGATCCAAGGTCTCTTCCCCCGCCCCCACCCCAGGCCTCCCCCACCACCACCACAACTCTCCCTTGCCTCCTCTCCCTATCAATCTGCCTTTCACATAAATAAAATCTTTTTTAAGAAATAATTTTTAATATAAGAGCTTCTCATTTCTAGAGAAGAAAACATCATTTTCTTCAGTGATTGTTTTCAACTTTCAACACAATCTGCAATTTTTTACATAAGAAAATGGTAGGGAACATTTATAACAGCTTTATTTTTCATTTCCCAATCACCATATGAAACGTTCCTAATGGTAAATGTTAAGTATAATGTGTTACTTTGCTATCGTAATTTTAGTTTAAGTGGTTGTGATGTTTGATTGAATAGGGTGGTTTTTTTTTCCAGAATGGGATCACTAGTTCCACTTGTACAGAGTTTAAAAAAACGAATGGAAGTGCCTGACTATGAAATGGTAAATATTTTTATATTAAGTTATGTAAAATTGACCCATTTTATATAAAGGCAGTTTTCTGAGTAGAAAACTTTGCTTTTGTAAAGATGGTTTGTTTTATTTGTATTTCTCTGAAGTCTAAATGAATTCTTAAGAAAAAGCATAAGTGAAAAACACATACTTTTAGAAGCCAGAATACGGTTAACTATGACATATTTGAGTTCCAGCTTTCAAAACAAAAGTTGCAAAATGACAGCCTGTGAGCGACTTGTAGCTTTCAAATTTCTTTGGTAGTAAAACTGAAACACCACTCATTTAAAATTAAAACACATATGTAGATACCAATAGGTCGTCATTATACATAAAGGATACATTAGAAAACAATAGATAAGCTAGGAGGAAAACTCCTGTAGCTCCTCAAAGCTTTGAATATAGTATGGGTGCATATTTAAAAAGTAAATAAAATAATATGTTAAAAGAAAGGGTAGAATAAGAATATTATGTAAAATTTGGCATCAACATTTTAGGATCTAGGTGAAATGGATAATTTGCCAGAAAATGTGAATTAAGATTGACTTAAGTACAAGCAGAGGAACTAAGTAAATCAACAGTCATAAGAATTTTAAATTATAGAAATAGTTAAAGAATTATTCCTTAAAAAGGCATTGGACCCAGACAGGTGTATAGGCCAGTTTTTCCAAATCTTCAGAGAGTGGGAAATTTCTGTGACACAGAAACTATTGAGAGGAGCATGTATTTGAAAATGCCTTGCAGTTAGGAGGCCTGTGCAACTTCAAGGTACCAGGATTTAATTCCCAGCCCTGGCTCCCGACTCCAGCTCCCTGGCAATACACACCTTAGGAGGCAGCAGTGATGGCACAAGTATTTGGGTTCCCACCACTGATAGGACAGACTTGGATTGTTTTCTTGGCTGCAGCTTTAGCATCAGCCATTGTAAACATTTGGGCCATTAACCAGCCCATGAAAGTGCTCGTTCGCTCACGCGCTCTCTCTCTCTCGCTCTTCTTTGCAAATAAAAATTTTAAGGCCGGCGCCGCGGCTCACTAGGCTAATCCTCCACCTAGCGGCGCCGGCACACCGGGTTCTAGTCCCGGTCGGGGCGCCGGATTCTGTCCCGGCTGCCCCTCTTCCAGGCCAGCTCTCTGCTGTGGCCCGGGAGTGCAGTGGAGGATGGCCCAGGTGCTTGGGCCCTGCACCCCATGGGAGACCAGGAAAAGCACCTGGCTCCTGGCTCCTGCCATCGGATCAGCGCGGTGTGCCGGCCGCAGCGCGCCGGCCGCGGCGGCCATTGGAGGGTGAACCAACGGCAAAGGAAGACCTTTCTCTCTGTCTCTCTCTCTCTCACTGTCCACTCTCCCTGTCAAAAAAAAAAAAAAAAAAATGTCTCTATAGAGTCCCATGATTCCTCTGGCGGGGGGAGGAGGGAGTAACTCACATGAAGCGCCATTCTTCTTATGTTTTTAAGAAATCAGAAATCTTTTAAAAGCATTAAGAGTGCCTTTATTTGTTAAAGCTTATAAATTAAGCTTTTAAATATGACACTTTAAGAAAGAACATAAAGAAAGCCAAAAAAAAGAAAAAAAAAATGACACTTTAAAGTAGATCTTTATCCATATGTCTATGCTTGTATGTATATATATATACGTACACTAAATTATCAGATTAATGTTGCACTTTATAATTTGTATGTCTTAATTGTTTATATTAACCTTAGAAATATCCCAGTCACCAGAGAATCAAATGAATTTGTCAGAAATATTTAGATCTGAAACACTTGTGCTAAGTAGTAGGCTAGATAACTAATTGCAATTCCTTCTCTAAAGATTCTTTGCCATTCTTCTCAGTCCATCCTATCCTAAAGGGCTTTCCTTGCTCTAATCTGGAATCAGGAGACACTGATCAAATCAGTTCACATCTTAATCCAGCTGTAATTGGCAGTGACATTGTAACTGCCCCAGTGCGTCTCAAATTATATTTGGTGAGTTCTAGAAAGACTCAAAATCCAAGTTCCTGGCCCACCCTACCTTGCTGTTTTCTCCTTCATACTACTGTGGAAACTGATACCAACACCAGCACATCCCCATGTTTCATATTGGTCCAAGCTATGGATCCTCCACACTTGGGTAGTTAACATTGTTTTTAGAAGTAGAATGCATTTATGGATTGGAAAACTTCTACCCTAGTCATTGCTTACCCTAGCATTTTACACATATAAAAAAAATAAGAAAGATACTCAGCCAATGCCTCTAAGATTAAAAAAATCCTTACTCCCAGTGGCATCTCTCTTTTGAGGAAACAGTAGTCTAGCACCTAAGCACTGAGACTCATGCCTCATGCTTTTGAACACATCACCAACACTTAGCAGCTCTGTGACCTTGCATATGTTAATCTTTGTTTCAGTTTCCTTTAAAGAAGTAGTGACTGTTTCTATTTAAAAGAGTTGCTGAGAAAATCAAAGAACATAATTCACATAAAATGCCTGACCTAGGGTAACATTTTAGTAGCTTTCAACTTTTATTATTCTAAAACTCAACATTCATTTCTGTTTTATGTTGACATCAATATAGACAAGTTTTTCTTCACAGCGTAGTATGATTTTTCTCCTACTTAAGTGTATTTTTCTCCTTTCTCTTGGCTCCAGGTCAAGTCTGGATGATTACTGTCCTTCTGAGCAAGTCGACGCCATTCAAGAAAAGGTCCTCAGCATGCTGCGCGCCCTCTATGGCACTCTGAACGTCCACCTGCAGTACTCTGCAGGGTCCTCTCCGTCCTGAAACACAGCAGTGGGCTCCTCTTTCATCTTGGTCTAGTGACAGGGTTTTCATTAACTTACTTACAAATTAGTCTTCCAGGGAATATTTTTTCTATTAACTTGCAGTTGAAATTTTTCAGATATTTTGAATTTCCAAACAAATATCAGTTATTGAATGAATGATGGTGTAATTTTTAGGCAGCAAGTCTACCATGCCCAGTTGATGGAACTATGTATCTTTCTTCCTCTCCATCCATCCTGTTGTTGTCTTTGTTTTTGTGAATTTTATTTTCCTTTTAACCCCCTGGGCCCACTGGACTGTTTGAGATTCGCTCATCTGTTCATTCATTTTCTCACTGATAGTTACTGAGCACTTTACATGTGGCAGCATTATTAAATCCTGGGGGTGTGGTAATGAACAGAATAGACAAGGCCCCAATCCTTTTGGGAGGGACAGATGAAAAACTATGGCTTCTGAGAAGTGTTAGGAAGAAAGAACAACCACAAACATGTCTTAGCCATGCTCTTAGGACTCAGGGTACCCTGGCCTTACAGGAAAGAACATTCACAAAAGCTACTACCAGAAGAACCTTGCCACCCCATGGAAATGTTGCAGGAAGTCTCCCTTTCCAAGGCTGCTGGGATTTGGCCTCCTGCCAGATGCTTTTCAACATTGTTAGTATTGAAGAGGTCTGGTTGAGTAAACTTGACCAAACAAAAATTAACCTTTGGAGCGGGGTTTTTGGCTAATCAGAAAAGCCCTTTAGGTGATCCTTGTGGGCGTCAGTTAGCATTCTAGTCCCTAAGTACCACTAGATTGGCTGCCTGGATTGATAAATTGTTCAGTAAACCTACTTCTGATGCAGATATTAAGAAAAAAAGTTAAACCTTTACTTCCGACCTGCAATAGATACACAGGGACATAACTGTCTTCCACTAGCCTCCTTGTGCCTAACACTGTCTTCCGGAATCACTCCAGATCATGAAACTTTCATTTTTCTCCATTTACTAAAGTCATCCACTCTTAGATATCCCTTTTGTTCCATAATCGTTTTTTTTTTTTTTTAATTCCAAAATCTGGAAACCTTGGAAACATTTCTAGTCTGAAGCATTTCTTTTTTCTTTCTTTTTTTTTTAAGATTTATTTATTTATTTGAAAAGCAGAGTTACAGAGTATCAGAGAGAGAGAAATCTTCCATCCACTGGTTCACTCCCCAAATGGCCACAACAGCAAGAACTGCACTGATCCAAAGCCAGGAGCTTCCTCCGGTTTTCCCACGCGGGTGCAAGGGCCCAAGGACTTGGGCCATCTTTTACTGCTTTCCCAGGCCATAGCGGAGAGCTGAATTGGAAGTGGAGCAGCCAGGTCTCAAACCGGCGCTGCAGGTGGTGGATTTTACCCACAACACCACAGCACCAGTCCCTCCATAATCATTTTTAACTACCTACTTGATTTCTTTTCCTTTAAGAGACAGCATTGCATGAAAAAAGAAAACAAACACCATCACTCCTCAGTCCTAACTCAGAGCTTTCATTTTTGCATGTAATCGTCAGGCCTCATCCACATCCATACCTACAGAGTTGCATGTAACTAAAACCAAGAACATAGTGCATTGTCACTCAGTAGATGGTACCAGACCCCACTTTTCCAATGATTCTGTTTTCCAGTTTCTTACCACCACGTTAGCTTCCAGAGTCTAATACTGTGGATGCTTATTTGTATTGTGAAAAGGAAAGCAAACTGATTTAGCTTTCCAGCCAGTTTGGCTAAACATTATGTACCAAAAAGATTTATATTCTCTGTAAAAATCAGAGCTTTGCAACATTGTGTTTATTTATATTGAAATTTTTCTGTTGGAATTCTGCAAGTAGATATCACTTTTATTTATGAGTAAATTATTTTGTGCACTAAAAGAAATTAAAAGGTATGTTTTTGAAGTTTTAAAGATGTTAAATACAGCTATGGTACTAATTTATTGTATGTCAGTGTGTTGATGGCATTGATTTTGAGTCTAGTTTACTGGTATTATGATTCCCATGAATTCTGATTGTTTTAACTCAGGTTAAATAAAAGAGCATCAGCTTTGTTTGTGGTAGCAATCAGGTGTTGAATGCTTATGCTTTAAGACTGTATCTGAGGAGTAAAATTGAGTCTACTTACTGCATAGAAACAGTTTAATAAATTACCTCTCTATATATCCAAATAGAAAGATGCTTATCAAGCTATCCTTCATTTGTGTTTTGAGTACCAGTGAGGGACATGAATATTGTTTTGGGTTATGTACAAATACCATTAAAGCTTGGGATTTTAAGTTCTGTCTTTGGTAATACTCTTTTTTTTTTTTAAGATTTATTTTATTTATTTGAAAGAGTTACACAGAGAAAGGAGAGGCAGAAAGAGAGAGAAGTCTTCCATCCGCTCGTTCACCCAATCAGGAGCCAGGAGCTTCTTCCAGATCTCCCCATGCCGGGGCAGGGGCCCAAGAACTTGGGCCATCTTCTACTGCTTTCCCAGGCCATAGCAGAGAGCTGAATCAGAAGTGGGGCAGCCAGGACTTGAACCGGTGCCCATGTAGGATGCCGGCACTTCAGGCCAGGGCGTTAACCCACTGTGCCACAGCACCGACCACAATAATACTCAGCTGCAGTTTTATATCTCTTTATGTACTGTAGATTCTCTCAGAGCTATTAGTCAATGTAGAAAATGTTTGAGGCTTCTGGGATGTGATGGCAAAAGAAAATACACAGACAAGGTAAAAACTGAGTATCACACATACCCAAGGCAGAGCACATAACCAAATTGAACCAAAAGGTAGAGGGTGGGAGGGGGTGGGGAAGCAAAATACAAAAGAGTAGTAGTAAAAAAAAATGAGATGTCTTCCTATTTGTGATAAAGATAAACAGGAAAGATAAATGAGAAGCTAAAAAGATTGGTTACCTACTCAGTGTAGCAAGGAGAAGGGGGAAACCAGAGCAGGTAGTAATGAGGAGGAAGTGACACTCCATGTACTTCTCCAAGTACAGCTTTGTGTGTATTCTGACCATTAGAACCACAGAGCTGTTTAACACATCCAACAAAAATAAATACAGAAATCAACCAAGATGGGAGAACTCTTTCTGGAATACAAATAGGAATAAATTAATTATTGAACAAATGACTAACTTAACCATACTGAATGGAATGAGGAGTGAGGAACCTAAGTAAATGGAAAACAGTATTTTGACCTGAGACTGAAAAGGTAAAAGACATAAGGAGCTGTTTGCAAGTACTATACTATAGTTAATAAGTCTTTCTTATAAAGGATATGGATTAGCAATTTGGTAACTACTTCATGTCTATACTAGTATTGAACAAATATATTGTGTGTAAGAGCCATGTTTCTCATTCTCAAATAAATGTTACAAATAAGAAAAGGGGTGGCTACAAGGAACTTTGTGTTGAATTGCAGTCAGAGGTCATCTGTTGGACCATGGTTTTAAATATGTATCTAGTACATACATTTAGATGTGTGTGCATACACAGGGTAATGTACATACATAAATGCCTTAGCTCAGCCTAAGGGAGCCTAGAAGCGATGATACTCCCAAGAGCAGCAACACATGTGGATCATAGCTCTTGGACTGTAAATGCCATTCTCCAATAAAAGGAACCAGTGGAAAAATCAAAATGAGCCTGGAATAACTTGTTGCACCAAAAAATAAGAAAATACTTTAAAAAGCTTGAGAATATGTCAGAATGACACAGAAACCAACATGAAAGTTCCCAATGGACAAAGCTAGGATGATTTAAGCAACAAAATTTAAAAGTAGTAATATTGGGGGTGGGTGTTGTAGCCACATCTTGGGGTACCCATATCCCATATTAGGTACCTGGGTTGAGTCCCAGTTACTCTGCACTTCCCATCCAGTTCCTGCTGATGTACCTGGAGAGCATCCACTGATGGCCCATGTTCTTGGGTTCCTGCCACTCATTTTGGACACCAAGATGGAGTTTCTGGCTCCTGGCTTTGGCTTGGCCTAACTTTGGTTGTTACATGCATTTGGGGAGCGAACCAGCATATGGAAGATCGATCTTTGTCTTTCTGTGCCTTTCAACACCTTCTTCCATTAAGCAACTTTAAGCTTTCAAGCTTCTGGGGCTGGCATGTGGTGCAGCAGGTTAAGTTGCTGTTTACAACACTAGCATCCCAGACTGGAATGATGGTCTGGCTACTCCACTTCTGATCCAGCTGTCTGCTTACAAAAGAATGGAAGATGGCCCAAGTCCTTCAGCCCCTGCCACCCCCAAGGGAGGCCTGGGTGGAGTTCCAGGGTCCTGGCTTCAGCATGGCCCAGCCTGGCTATTGTTGCCATTTGGGAAGTAAACCAGCAGATGGTTCTCTCTGTCTTTTCCTCTCTGTGTCACCTTGCCTTTCAAATAAATACATCTTTTAAAAAATAAAGATAAGATTCTGTATCTGTGGTAGTGCTTCCTCATTAAAAATTTAGTGTACTGCTTACTACTGTGCTAGTATTTCTTAGTGGGTTATACTTCTAAAATAATTTTTGTTTTGAAATTGCTTAGGCTTTGAGTGGCCTTCTTCCACACTTTTTCCTCTAAAGCCCTGCTACTTTTTAGTGTGCAAGTGTGCAGAATGCCAAGTTTTTGTAGAAATTTGAGTATTTGAAGAGCAACAGAATATTTTGTGGTCTGTGATATTTACCAGTTACACAGGCAAAACTTGTGATTTTTATCATGGAGGATCTGTAGAAGTAATCAAGGTTAACATCACCAATTAAAAAGTCACATTGATGTCAGATCCACTGAAATGAACACATCTGTAGTAATAATCCCTGTCAAAACTACACGACCTCAATCTAACCAAGAACTCATCAGATGAATCCAAGTTGAGAGACATTCTACAATAACTGTCAGGTCATGAAAGACAGGAATGACAGGAACTGTCAGGGACTGGACGAGGCTAGGGAGACAAGGTTATACAACCTAAGACTGCATCCTCAAACAGAGGAAGGACTTTGTGGGGGAAACTGGGAATATTTACATATCAATTGTACCCATGCTTTTTTTCTAGTTTTGATCATTGTGTAGTGGTAATGGAATTGTTTAGACGAAGCTGGAGGAAAGCATTTGTGAATTCTTTGTACTATTCTGGTGACTTTAAATGGAAAATCACTTCAGAGAGAAAGACACAGTGAGAAAGAGCATTGTTTTCCATGTTGTACTGTTTCATTTATGCTGTATTCAACTGTGCTGGCGTACTTGCATCCTGCTACTCTTTCTTGCTAGCACAGAATATTACATTGCTGGGAAATTTTCCAAGTGAACCAATGTAGTTTCCATGGTTTACTGACCTAATTTCCCTGTTTTCCAATCTCGTATGAGCTAATCCAACTTTAAGAAGTGCAGCAGAATACACTGTATTGAAGTTGTATGAGAAGTGTTTAGATGGTGGGAAATAGAAATGAAGAGAGGACACTCCAAAAAGAAAGATTGTTCCTAGCACTGCCATGAGATACTTTTGGGAATGCTGCAGAGTGATTCAGGAAAAAATATAAAGAGGGGAAAACACAGTACTCACACCAAAAATTAAAGCGGGGATATCACCACAGATCCTTCACATGTTAACTTTATGCCATTGAACTTGACAAGTTAAAATTAAGAGGTCTTTGAAAAACACAGCTTAAACTGACACAAAAGAAACTCACAGAATAACTATCAATTTTAAAAGTTGAATGGGTGAGGGGAGGTTCTGTGGTGTAGTGGGTAAGGCCAGCATCCCATATGGGCTACTCCACTTCCAGTCCAGCTCTCTGCTATGGCCTAGGAAAGCAATAGAAGAAGGGTGACCCAAGTCCTTGGGCTCCCGCACCCGTGTGGCAGCTCCTTGCTTCGGATCTGCCCAGCTCTGGCCTCTTAAAGCCACCTCCTGAAATGCCAGAATCCCCTATGGACACCAGCTCCTGCCCCAACTGCAGCACTTCCAATCCACCTCCCTGCTGATGGCCTGGGAAAGCAGCAGAAAATGGCCCAAGTACTTGGGCCCCAGCCACCAACATGTGAGACATGGATGAAGCTCCTGGCTCCTGCCTTCCGCCTGGCCCAGCCCTGACCATTGTAGCCATCTTGGAAGTGAACCATGGATGGAAGATAAATCTGTCTGACTTCCAAATAAAATACATAAATCTAAGAAAAAAAAAATTGAATTGATCCTCAAAAGCCTTCTCTCAGGGCTACCTACTTTAGAGACCTGGAAGAAGCTCCTGGCTCCTGGCTTCAGTCAGGGCCAGCCCTGACCATTGCAACCAACTGGAGGATGAACCAACAGACAGAGGATCAATCTCTCTATATGTCTCTGACTTTCAAATAAAATAAATTAATGTGGCCAGCGCCTCGGCTCAATCGGCTAATCCTCCACCTAGCTGCGCCGGCACATCCAGTTCTCGTCCCAGTCGGGGTGCCGGATTCTGTCCTGGTTACCCCTCTTCCAGGCCAGCTCTCTGCTGTAGCCCGGGAGTGCAGTGGAGGATGGCCCAAGTGCTTGGGCCCTGCACCCCATGGGAGACCAGGATAAGCACCTGGCTCCTGCCTTCGAATCAGCGCGGTGCGCCAGCCGCAGCATGCCAGCCGTGGCGGCCATTGGAGGGTGAACCAATGGCAAAAGGAAGACCTTTCTCTCTGTCTCTCTCTCTCACTATCCACTCTGTCAAAAAATTAAAAAATAAATTAATTAATTAATGTATTTTTAAAAAAAATTGATCAACAAAAGCCTTCTCTCAAAGAAAACTACATGCCTGGATGGTTTCCCACAGGAATTCTACCAAACATTTAAGGAATAAATAATCCTTAACAAACTCCTTTAGAAAATAGAAAATATTGGGGCCAGCGCTGTGGCGCAGTGGGTTAATGCCCTGGCCTGAGGCACCGGCATCCCATGTGGGCACCAGTTCTAGTCCCATCTGCTCCACTTCCAATCCAGCTCTCTGCTATGGCCTGGGAGGGCAGTGGAAAATGGCCCAAGTCCTTGGATCCCTGCACCCGCGCGGGAGACCTGGAAGAGGCTCCTGGCTCTGAATCGGCACAGCTCCGGTCGTTGGGGCGTGAACCATCGGATGGAGGACCTCTGTCTCTGTCTCTCTCTCTCTCTCTCTGTCTCTCTCTCTCTCTGTCTCTCTGCCTCTCTTCTCTGTGTAACTCTTTCAAATAAATAAATAAATCTTAAAAAAAAAAAATATTCCCAACTCACTATATGAACCCAATATAATCCTGTCAAAAATTTAGCAAATACATAACAAAAAAAAAAGGAGATTTCAATACC